CATTTGTAAGAAAATGGATGGAACTAGAGACCACTAACCACTATGTTAAGTGAAAGTCAAATTCAGGTCAAGGGAGGTATGTTTTCTCTCATATGTGGAAGCTAGAGAGGAAAAAGGAAAAGAAAGGTGCTGGTGGATCTCATGTAAATCAAAGGGAGATCGGTGGAGAAAAGGGACCAAGGCTTACAGCCTAGGAGTACAGCTACACAATATTTATCAAGTAAAATAATAGCATCTAGTTAACTGGCAAGAGCTACAGAAATAAGAAAGGGGAGGACTGAGTGTAGGAGGGAAGGAAATATGAAGCAGGTACAAAAAAGAAAGGAAAAAATTGGGATAAGGAAAATTACAATTTTAGATAAATTGGCCAGTTAGCTCTAATGGAGGAGACAACTGTTCTTATTTTTTATACATATTTTTAACCTATAATATTAATTTTATTGTCTATGTCATTGATTTTCCTTTAACTCCCCCTTTAACTGATAAAATAAAAATGCTTCAAAAAAGAAAAATGAAGGGAGCATCTTAGTCCCTTTTTGCCCTTCTGTTCCTTCTACCATGTGAAGACACAGCATTCTTCCTCTTCAGAGGATGCAGCAAGAAGTGCCAGTTTTGAAGCAGAGAGCCCTTGCCAAACACCCCAGGTTATAAGCTCCAAGAGGGAAAGGATTCGGTCTGTTTTTTTCCCCATATTTTTTATTGGTGAATTATAGTGGTACATAATGATGGAATTTGTTGTTGTTACATATTAGTACATGCACACAATATAGCAATATAATTTGACCAATATCAGTCCCCATGACTTCCCTCCTCCCTTCCCATCTCCTACTCCTTGGTCCTTTTATATATATATATATTTGTTTTAATATATATGTATGTGTGTGTATATATATATATATGATGGATAAAGAAAATGTACACAGAGTATATATATATATATATATATATATATATATATATATATATTAGAGAAGAAAAGAAAAAGAAGGAAACTACAGACCAATATCCCTGGTCAACATAAATCCAGAAATTCTAAAAAAAAAAAAAAAATCGAATCTGATAGCACATAAAAAATATTACAATAGGGGTTTTTTTTGTGTCCTGCAACTTCATAGCCTTTTTCATACTGAATGTGGAAAAGATGAGTTTTCTCTAAAATCAGGAGCAAGACAAGGATATCCGCTTCCACCTCTTGTTCAATAAAACATTGGAAGTCTTAAGTAGAGTAATATAAAAAAGGAAATAAAGAGGATGTCTGCTGATAACATGATTCAATATATAGAAAAACCTACAAACTGCTTCAAAACTGATCAACAAATTCAATAAGATTGCAGGACACAAAATCAACAGAAAAATCAGTAGCTTTTTTTATATCCAATAACAAAATTGGTGAGAAAAAGATCAAAATATCAGCCCCATTCACGGTGGCTACCAAAATGGGAGGAAACTCACCTAGGAATAAACTTAATCAAGGACATTAATTACTGCTACAATGAAAATTACAGAACACTGAAATAAATTGAAGAGGATGCAAAGAATGGAAAGATATCCCATCTTCATGGATTTAAAGATTTAATATTGTTAAAAATGACCATATAACCCAATCAGTTTACAAATTTGATGCTATTAATTTACTGTCAAATTACTAATGACATTTTTCAAAGACAAGGAAAAGACTCATAAAATTTGTATGGAACCACAAAATACCCCAAAGAGCCAGTGCAATCCCAAGCAAAAATAACAGACTGGAGGAGTCATAATACTGGACTATAAAACATACTATAAAATGACAGTAACCAAAAATCACATGGTGCTTTCATAAAAGCAATCACATTTTTTCACAAAAACAGAAAGAATATACATTGAAGAAAGTCTCTTCAACAAATGACGCTGCAAAAATTATGTATCCATTGGTAGAAAAAAGAAACTAGATTCCTATATCACTCACTACATACAAAAACCAACACAAAATGGATCAGAGACAAGACTCAAGACTGAAACCACTAGAAGAAAACATAAGGGAAATGCTTCAGGACATTAGTCTCAGCAAAGAGTTTTTTGGATATGACCACAAAAGCACAGGCACCAAACCCAAAAATGAACAAATGCGATTCAAACTAAAAATATTGTGTATAGCAAAGGAAACTCAACAAAAAGAAGAAACAACCTGAAGAATGAAGGAAATATTAGCAAATCATTCATCTGTTGAGTGAGTAATTTCCAGGGTATATAAGGAACTCAAACAACTTGATAGTAAAACACAAATAATTTAAAAATGAGTGAATTACCTGAATAAGCATTTCTCAAAAGAGAATCACAATGTCCATATAAAATATAAAATTTTTTTAGTGTTCAGCATCACCAATCATCAGGAAAAGGCAAATCAAAACCATGAGAGATTATGTCATCCCAGTTAGAATAGCTATTTTCAAAAAGACAAATAACAAATGCTAGAGAGGATGCAAAGGGAAATTCTCAGACACTGTTGGTGGGAAAATAAATTAGTATTGCCATTTATGGGAAACAATATGGAAATGCTTCAAAAAATTAGAAGTAGATCTACCACATGATCCACATATCCCGTAGAAATAAAGAGGCATCTGCACTCATGTTTATGGTAGCACTATTCACAAAACCCAAGATAAGGAATCAACCTAGGTGTCCATCAGTGGATAAATGGATAAAGAAAATGTGGTATACATATACCATGGAATGTTATTAAGCTATAAAGAATGAAATTCTGTTGACAAGAATGAATTCTGTGCAGCAACAATGAGTGGATCTAAAGGATTTTAAGTGAAATAAGTTAAGCAAAGAAAGAAAATACCCTAAGTTCTCATTTATATGTATAAAGCTAAAAAGTTAATTTCATAAAATTAGAGGATACAATAGTGTTTACAGAGCCTGGGAAGGATGTAGGGGAAGGAGGGATGGAAAGAGCATAATGGTTAGCCAGTGTAGGGGTGGAGCTGGATAGGAAGAATAACTTCTAATGTTCTAGAGCACATTAGGATAAATAGAAGTTGACAGTTAATTGAATATTTCCAAGTAGTTATTAGAAAGGAATTTGAACATTCTCAGCCAAAAGAAATGATAAATGTCTGAGGTAATAGATACGTCAACTGATCTGCTTATTACACAATGTAACGTGTTAAGATATCACATAGAACCCCATAAGTAGGTACAATTACTGTCAATCAAAAAATATGTTTTTATAAAAGTATGTTAGTTTCCAAAAATTAGGGGACTTTCCAGATATCTTTTTTGGGAAATTTAAGGCATTAGGATTGAAACCCAGAGTCTCACACATGCTAAATAAATCCATAATCTTACCACTAAGCTAAACTCTCAGCCCCAACTTTTTCAGATATCTTTGTCATCAATTTCTAACTTAATTCCATATTGAAAGCAAATCATCTTATATTGTAAAATGCATAACCTGGAAGCTAGTGTTAGTCCCTCTCTTTTAAGAGTTTCCTTGGTTAACTTTAGCCTCACACAAACTTTTTTGCCCCACACAAAACTGGAGGACCATCTCTAAGCTTGCATAAAAGCTTGGGGGTGGAAGAGTAGAGAACAAGCTGAGTCTGGAGTGGAGGCTGTTTTAACATTTAGCAAGTACACATAGAGCAAACAAGAACTGGGCAATTGACACTTGAGGAATCTGTCTTTTCTAACCTCCACAGACATTCAGAAAACAGTTTCTACAATAGAAAAATAGTCATGGAAAACTCTTGAACTCTGACCATCTACTAGCCAGCTTGAATCAAAAGAAACATCAGATACCTAAACTCACTCCATTTTATAGCAGTCCTCAAAGAGGAGGTCCTCAAAAAAACCTAACCAGGGTTTACCCAAAAAAAACATCAAACCATCCATGCCCGCCAAGAATGATGCCAATGTCAAACCACCATGTCCACCAAAGAGAATATTGAACCACAAATATTCCTCAAGGAGGATATTATTCTGCCAGGGCTTGCCAAACCACCAGTGTCCCCTAAGAGGGATATAAAATCACCAGTGTCACCCAGGGATAATGTCAGCTGGGGAGATCAGAAATAGCACTTCCTGGAGGGTGGTTGGGCACATAGGTGTGGATGACCCAGACACTTGAATGTGTGAGGGAAAGCAGGACCTAGCTCTAACTTGAGGGCAAATCACAAACACTCCTATCTCACACTGATGTGTCTCTAAGCACTCATCCCAGCCATAACCCAGGAGATTCCCCATTCCCGAATCACCTCTGCCTGAAGCTCCTATCTCCAGACCTACCCCAGTCATGCCCAAAATTGGTTGTCTCATCCTGGATGCAAAGCAACATTTTGCAAACACCCATTGGACATAAGCATTGTTTGAGGGGTTCTTGATATGGCTTGATGAGCCAAAGAGAATTGTCTGGCAGGGTGCAAGGACCATTCTGGTTCCCCTGGTCCTAGTTAAGACCCAGAAGATGGTTCCTCCTCTAATCTCCCAGCCCACGCACAATGAAGTCCCCACATCTCAGACTTGATGTCCAGCACTTTCCTCCAACCCACTGTGGTGCCATCTGATCCATTTAAGATACTTTCAAGTATACCTTGAACTAAAGCACTCCAAAATCAAACCCAGAGCAGCTTGGCCAGGCAGCCACAGACCAAGGAAGTAGCACACTTTTTTGTAGATCTCTGCCCCTCCCCCAGCAAAGACACTGTAGGACCGGAGGACAAAACATGTACTTTTATGCCCTGAGATGATCAGGGAGACTTTAGCAGGACTCAGCACTCACACTGGAATATGCAAAAGTTGTCCATGCTCCTCACCCCAGCCAAGTATGCTGCATGTAGGGGAAGTGACCTAGTCCCTTGAGTTTCAGAGTATCCTATTCAATGCCTTAATTTGGTTGTTCCCAGTATGGAGAGCTCTCAATTCCTCTGCCCCCACAGTACCCAGAAAGTCAAAGGGGGTCACATGATAGATCCAGTCTGAGACAGGAGAAGCACTGAAGGAGCACAGTTTCTTGCACTGGGAAGACCACAGCAAGCTAGGATGAGAGCTAACACAGGCGCCATGCACAGGTGGAGGGAAGTTGACCTCGTGGGAGATAGTTCAGAGCCCCATTTGGTGTGGTCTGCAGTAGATGGCCAGCCCAGCCTCCATGCCTGGATGGCAAAGGTCCTCCCAGCTTCAGGAGTAATGGATGGGCCTGAGCCAGATGCTCCTTGGAGAGCAGGCACAGAGCCAGCACCTCCTTCCACTGTTTACTTGCCACTCCTGGAGCCCCGCTGCTTGCTCATGGCTGTGAGCATCTGGCTGATGTAGGAAGTAAGGAGGTCATCCATCTTGTAGCCCTGGGAGCAGGGGTGGGAAAATAAGCAGAGCACAAAGTGAAACCAAGCCCAGCCATTTAGACCCAGACAGCTCCTGGGACACTGTGCAGTGAACAGAACCAGAACCAGGACCAAGGCAAATCCTGTACCACTCAGCATTCAGTCTTTCCGTCGACACAATTGAGGGTTTGGAGTTATCCAGCCAGATGACTCAGGTTCTAAGCTGTATGATCCCACAATAAGCACGTAGCCTGTGGTCCTTCACATCCTGGATACCTTGAAAGTTTGAGTTTGGTCCAAGAGGCCTCAGTGCTAATGGTTCTACTGTCAAACTCAGGGCGAACAGGCTACAACTACAGGCTCAATCCCCAGATAATGAAAAAGAAGTTGAATGAGGGATCTAGTCCTCAGCCCCAGATTAAGACCCCAGGCTTAAGCTAGCCTCAAACTGAACTGATTACCAACCTGACCCTTGACCCTGACCCCAGGCCACCCCCTACATTCCTGTTGTAGGGGTTGGGAGGAGAGGATGGCCGAAGCTGCAAGAGAGACTGGGACCCCGCCAGGCTCTCGAGGAAGAGTTCTCACCAGTGACGTCTCACAGAGCAGTTTGCTTCCGCGCACCAGGTTCCCAATGGTGATGTGGAAGTAGGTGTTGCCGCTGCTCCAGTTAGAGATCTTGGTGAAAGGGTGAGTAGTCAAGATGTCCTGGGGAGCAGGATGGGCATAAAGCTGCATAGCATGGCTTCACTCTCCCTGGGTCCAGCCCAGAGACACCTTTCACAGAAGGTCTCAGGTCCTCAAAGAGGGCCAGATTTGCATGAAGCTGCTGTGAGAAGCAGGTGCCTTTGCCTCCTCGCCTTGGTTTGGACCAACCGGCTAGACACCCAGGGAAATCTGGGAAGTTGTTGGGCACTTGGAGCCAAAATTAGAAACTTGGGCAACTTGACTGAACTGACACTGTGGGCCTGGCTGAGATGACCAGGGAGGGTGTAAGGAAGGAACCAAGAAGAAAACAGGGTGGAATCTTGGGAAATACCATATCCATGGGCCAAGTAGAGAAGAAACCCACAAAAGTATCTGAGAAAAAATGACCAAGAGAGAAAGGAGAACTGGGAATGTGTGGCACATGATGCCAGGGAACATAATGGTCATTAGTGCTCTTCACCAACTATCTAGGTGTACCCCTTCTGGGGAAATGGTAGGACTATGCTTCCTGGCCCTGGGGCAGGGCCACTCTGACCCATATACATGCATTTACCCCAGCACAGACTAGCCTCCTGGCCAGTATGGGGACAGAACATTTTGGAAGTAGGAAGCATTTTATAGCACCCAATGATGCTGAGAGGCAAGGTAGACTAAAAGGAGTTACTGGGACTTGGTGGCAAGAATTTTATAATACCAGTGACTTGCAAGGCTGAGAAAGGAGGATTGCAAGTTCAAGGCCAGCCTGGGCAACTTGGGAAGACCCTGTCTCAAAATTAAAAGAGCTGAGGATGTAGCTTGGTGGTAGAGTGCTTGCCCTAGCTCGTGCAAGGCCCTGAGTTCAATCCCCAATACCACCATCCTTCCGCCCCCACCCCATCCCCCCAAAAAAAAAACACCAAAAACCGTTAGAAACTCCAGGAGAGCAATTTTGGTGGAGCAAATGAGGGGTAAGGGTGTAGACAAGGCAACCAACCTTTCAAGATGCATGGTGAGTGGTGCCAGTGAGTTGGGCCGGCAGAGGCTTGTGTCTGGGACTTTGGTTAAAGTGTAGGCAAAGCAGCTCCCTGCCCCCCACCCCACCTGCTTGCTCGCTCTTGTCCCTGCTCACCTTGGTTCTGGGATCAATGAGGCTGACCCCATACTTGTTGATAGCAATTAAGAGGATCTCAGGGAAGTTTGGCTCTGTAGTTTGCTAGAAAAGAAAGATAGAGAACCATCATACGGGGATCCAGAACAGGAAAAGCACTTGGAGATAGGAAAGAAGTGCCCTCAGCTGGAATAAAACCAACCTGGTCTGTGCCAGGGGTGAAGAGGTGCTGGTGGCCCTGCCATGACCTTGTGATTTCTGCTGCGCCATGCTCCCAGTGCTGTCCCCACATCCCTCCCTGGGTCCCCAGCAGTGATTTCATCCCTCTCCCTTACCTCTCTAGGAGTCTTTGTTATATCCTTCTCTCAGCCCAAAAGGATCTTTTTTTTTTTTTTTTAATGCTGGGATTGAACCCATGGGCACTTTACTACTGAGCTACATTCCCAGCCCCTCTTATTTTTTAATACCTTTATTTCACTTATGTATTTTTATGTGGTGCTGAGGATCAGACCCAGGGTCTCACACGGGCAAGGCGAGCGCTCTACCACTGAGCCCCAGCCCCAGCCCCTCTTATTTTGAGACAGGATCTTGCTAAATTGCCCATGCTGTTTTCAAACTTGTAATCCTCCTATCTCAGCCTCCCCAGTCACTAGGATTACAGGCATGTGCCACTGTACCCAGCAAGGTCTTCCATCTTTAAAAAGCCCTCCTTGAACCTTCTGCTGCCCCCAGCTCTCCCACTCTGCTCCTTGCACAGCCAAGCTTCTCAAGAGCCTGCATCCTAGATGTGCGGCGGGATCATCCCTGAATCTCCTCATCCCAGCCTTTCCACCATTCTCCTGCCTCTGGTGATGACCCTCTGCTCCATCCTCCACCCTGTGACCAGAGGGGCCACCTGGCACTGTCATCCCTGTTCAAAACCCTCCAAACTCACTCCCCCTGCAAGAGGAAACCCAGCCCCCCATCCTGCTTGCCAGCTTGCCTCTCACTGCAGCCTGCTTGCCTATACCCAGCCGCACGCAGCCCCTGGCATTTCCTGCCCAGACCTGAGCTCTCACACTTCTAGGCCTTTGCCCATGTGGGCTGCTTGCTAAAAGTACACTTCTCAGGTCTCCCTAAAATGTCAGGAGGCTTCTCCAGTCTGGGTAGGGCTTCCCCAGCTCTGCCACCCAGGCGAGTACTCCACAGGGTCACAGCACAGTCCACCCTCCATTACTCTGGCCTTGCCTTCCCTTTCAGGCTGAGCATCTGGTTCCTCTGTCCTCAGGGTTGGAACACTAGCCAAGACACCCCGCTGGCTCGAGGCTAAAGGTGCATCCCTCCTTTCCCTGCCAGGGCAGCGTCCAAGACCATCACTGCTTCCCTCAGTCCTGGGGAGGATTCTTGTCCCCTTCTTCACCTCTTCCTCTCCAAGGAACCCCCTGTGGCATACCTTCACCTCAAAGAAGGCGGAGCCAAAGGTGGGCCACTTGAAGATGAGCCTCAGGAAGGCCAGCTTGGCCTCCTCCTTGGATTTCCCTGCGTGTTTGTTGAAGTAGGCGACGATGGACTGCAGGGAGAGGGGGGTCAGGACAGACAGCTCACAGCTCCCTGCCTCCTGCCRTGAGCACTGTCAGGACCAGAAGTAGGACAGGCAGACCCGGGAGCCACTGGGGTCCCCCCATTATCCCAGCTCATGGACTTTTGATCTCCCTCCTCTCCCCAAGGCAGGCAGGCCAGAGAGGATCCAATAAAATCAGGTCACCCTGGTAACCAGGACAGGACAAATCACCACCATGGGGCCTCTGAATTCTTCCCATGGAAGATGAGAAGAGGCAGACTGGAGGGTGGCCTGATTACATCAGGAGCCACAAGAGGCACTCCCTAGGGTGCTGGCCAGCACCTGCCAACCTGCCCCCTGGGGTTCCTGGAGTCCACTTCAGGGGTCTCCCATTCCCACCGCCAGCCCCACGCTCACCCGCTTCCAGTCATCAGGCGAGATCTGCCGGATGAGGTCCTGGGGCACCAGCTCTCTCAGCAGCTTGGGGATACTAGGGAAGTAGGACTTGTCCTCCTCAAACTTGACCCTGTAGATCAGTGCCCCCAACTGCAGCACCTCCTCCCGTGTGCACTTGTGGTAGCCTCTGAGATACTTGGGTAGCTCCTGCCAGAGACAGAGCCGGTCGCAGGCGTGGAGGGAGCTGGAGGAAGTGGACTCCTTCCCCACCACCCTAAGAAGGGGGGACTCCTGCCTTACCCCCATATTAGGACCCACCATTTCTTCAGCCTCCACTGATCCTGCTTCCCTAGGGGAGATGTCATAGGACAGGGAGACAGCGAGTATGCCTCCAGGTTCGGTACTGTGCAGTTCGGAAGCACAGCCATACCAAAACACTGTCCCAGTTCCCCTTCTAACAGTCCAGTGAGAACAGAACTGCTTCAAAAGTGAAGTTCAGGGTGAAACTGAGATTGCCCCCCAGCTCTCCTCTCTAGGCCTGTCCTCTCTTGGAAGAGCCAGTCATTTTGGCCTCCTCTCATTGTGTTCCTTTGGTCCTGACTGATTGCTGCAGCAGTACCAGCCCTACCCCTTGAACTTCCAGACCCAGAACCAGAGCATCTAAGGAGGGAGAATGGACCAAAAGCTGAGATGCAGCCTCTGAAGGGCCAGCACTGGAGCCTTAGGACTGTCCACCACACCTGGAGCCTTAGGATTATCTTATCCACTGTGGGAAGGGCAGGGAATGAAGGATGGCTGGGAGATGCCCCACTGATCAGAGATGAGTCAACCACCATCTGACCACTTCCCTGCCCACCCACACACCTACCATCTACTCACCCATTTATGGGTCTACCTACCCAGGCAGCCACCATCCCATCCACTTCCCCATCTGTCCATGCATCCACCCACCAATATCCACCCGTAAATTCATTCAGCACTCACCCTTCCACCCATCCATTCACTGAGTCACCAATTCACCCATTCAGCCACCCATCAGTCCAAAGAACGCTTGTTGAGCATCTGCTATGAGTCAGGCCCTTTAAGCAACAACACTCACCCTACTCTCATGGAACTTGCAGTCTCAAGACAAGAGCAGGATATAATACACAACAAACTGACGTATGGTTATAATCTGTGAAGGTACTGTTCACGGTGCTAGGAGAACATATAACAAAGTGATGTGATCCCACCGTGAGGACAGGGAATTCTTCAAGATAAGACATCTGGAAGCTCAGTGGGTAAGGGGAGGGATTGAGGGAAGAGTATCCCAGACGGGGTGACATGACAAAGGCCCTGCCAGACCTGAGACTCTGAAAAACTGTAGCTGCAGTGAATGGAGCCAAGGGGTGTCAAGTCCAAGAGGAGGCAGAGGCACCACCATGCAGGGCCCAGTCAGGCTTTGGGGTGTACCTCAAGAGCAACAGGAGGCCCTGAAGAGGCCTGGAAAGCAGGAGGGCTGTCTTGCGCACAGTGAACTGGGGGAAAACAAAACCAATGGGAGAGACCAGGGAGAGGCTGCGACCAGCCAAAGGAAGGAGGATGGTGACTGAGCCAGGTGGGCAGGGGGTGATGGGGAGACCCAGCGGTGTCAGAGATAGTCCGGAGGTCAGATCATTAGGCAAGTGATTCAGAATGTGGGAGACAGGCAGTGGGAGAGGTCAAGGCTGACTCTCGGGTTTACACATTGCATCGGTGGAACTGGCAGGGAGAGGCAGATACCAGGTGCAAACGGGGCAACCCTGCATCCCAGGCAGTGTGTCTCCACCATGGCAACCCCCACCTCCTCCTCCTAGCAACCTGGTCTGTCTCTCCCACCAGAATGGTAAGCAGACCGAAGCCCAGAAAGAGCACTGAACTGCAATCATGGAGCCCTGGAATCAAACCCCAGTTCTATCTGCTGTGTGACCTAAACTACATCACTTGGCTTCTCTGAGTCTGTTTCTTTCTCTATAAAATAGAAACAACATGCCTACTTCTGGAGTTAACTGGAAGGACAGGAGTGAAAGGTGCCAGGTAAATATTAGAGGTCAACATGCAAGCTTCCCTCCTGACTCCCTGCATGCCTGTGCCAGAAAACATTTGCAGACTTGTCTAGAAGCACTGGACATGCTCAGTTGTAGCAGCAGAATCTTGAATTCAGAGAACAGCCAGGCACCGAAGGAGGGGCCTGAAGAAGCAGGGAGCTCAGAGGAAGAGTGATCAAGCCATGATGGCTGGAAGACCAGGAGAGAGAGGGATCTGAAGTCAGGCCACTCCCTGGGCCCCGGGTCCCAGGAAGCCCTGTAAGGCCGGCTATTTCAGGCCCCTCACCTGGCAAGGCCCGCAGGACTCTGCTTCACAAGTTCAGCCAGACTGCAGCACGGTAGCCCCAGGAGCAGAGAGGCCCTGGGCAGCTCACCTGGTAATAGTGGAAGATGGAGTCGGCCATGGGGTCCTTGCCCGGCACCGTGGTGGTCCACAGCTTCTTCATGAAGAACACCTGGTAGGTGAGCGAGGGCACGACCCCTGCAGCACAGAGCAGCCCGTCACCCCGAGGCCCAGCACTGAAGGGTCYGTCCCCCACCCAACCAAGCCCCCAAGGAGGCCCTTGCTTGGGCCCCACCCAACGGGCCTCACAGCACAGCCCTGAGCAGCACCTGCCCTCTTCGGGCCTCAGGTGACCCCAGGACCCAGCCTCATTACCATCCTTGATGGGCCGTGCTTTCTTTATCCAGTCTGTCAGGTGTCGCACAAAGTCAAAGAAGAAGTCATTCTCTGGGACGCTGATGACCTAGGGACGTGGCCGTCGTAGTCCATTCGTTTTAGTTAAAGCAATACTGCCTTTTCCGACTTTCCTACCCAACTCCTCTTATCCAGAAAAACTCCACTCCCTGTATCAGCCCTGCCCTGCCCCAACTGCCTGGTCAGCGTCTGAAGAACACAGCCCTCTTCCTGCCGAGGGACAGTCACCCCACCCACTGCCTAGGCCCAGGGGAACATGGCCACAAATGAGGCCCAGTCCCCCTGCCTTGAATCTTCCAGCTTCTCCCACAGGCTCTGAGCTCTCTAGATGCAGAACCTCATCAGGGTCATCTCTGGGTCCTCAGTGTCTGGCACAGGGACAGTGGTGAGGTGAGAAGATAAATGGGGATGTACCTAGATCCATTAGTGATCAAAAGGAGAGAGCCCCCAACTCTGCCTGAGACGGTCAGAAAGCCTTCCCGTGGAAGGGGAACTGCAAGACCTCCAAGGACAGAGCTGGAGGGATGTGGGCTGTGCACCTGGATCTGAGTTCCTGATGTGTGACCTTGGATAAGTTACTTAACCTCTCTGAACTCTAGTTCTGGGATCTATTAGTCTGTTTTGTCCTATCGACCCAAATGTGGACACCTATAAAAATTTTAAATATATAATTATATTATAAAATCATACTACTTAATGTTGATTAATATGCATTATTATAGTCATGTAGAGGCTCTAGATTATGATTTTAATGAGCCTGTGTCAATTTCATTGAAATATTGGCAGAGTGGAAAACTTGAGACTTCATGGGTTCAAGGGGGCTAATCATGCTGCCCTTCAAGGGTTATCTCAGTGGTTAATTGGCCTCAGCATGGCAGTTGGTGTGTCCAGAACATAGACTGCCTGGGCAGATGGCCCCCAACGGGTCTGAGGCCATGTGGATGACTCCAAGGGAGAGGCTTTGGGGCAGCAGGTCTTTGTAGACTGAGAGCCTGCAGGGATGACTGTAGGAAGGAGTGGGCAGAAGACACCTCCCCACGGGTTCCCATGGCCCCAGAAAAATCTCACAGCATTTGGGCAGGCAGGTGACAGGAAGAGAGTCGGCAACCCACCTTGTCTGCAATTTTGACAAAGAGGCTGAATCCCTCGGAGGACTTGAGGAGCAGCCGAGCGGCGATGTTCTGGCAGAAGTCCTTGGCCTTGGTGCTCGACTCCACCTCAAAGGCCTGAGAGGGGAGGGCTCACTTAGCGTCTGCAGAGTGGGCCTGGCCTCTGGCTGCGCCTCTAGACCAAGCCCTGCCCTCCACAGGGCTTCCCCGGGGGTCCAGAGCTGGACTTGGCATTTCAACAAAGGAAAAAGCAACTCCTTTTCAGTCCCTGGCTCTCTGGGAAGGACTTTCCGTGGCCTCCCAGCCCCAGGCCTGGCTGCAGGATCATGAGGGACAACAGAGCCAGGCTTCAAGGTTGGAGTGGACAGAGAGAGACCCGAGGAAGGGAAAAGCAAATTCCAAAATGGGTGAGGGGACCGGAGAGTCTGGCAAAGTTCAGATGAAGAGAGCAGAGGAACTTGGGGACGGCTTCCACTAGAGGGGACAGACAGGAAAGGAATTTAGGAATTTCTTCTGTCCTTGCCCCTGGGACCCTCTTATGACATTTCTGAGTCTCTAGTCTCTAAACTCAGACAAGTTTTTAAACTTCTCTTCAGACTTAAATATTTAGACGTTGCACTCAGGTTCGTCTGAATGATGCGCGTTGCTGAGACGGAGCAGGGAGTGGGGGTCTTGAGGCAGCCTGACCATGAATGTGACAAAGACAACAGGTCCCTTGGAAGACAGAACCAAGATGGAGGGACCCCGACCACATCATGTGAGGGGCAGGAAGGGGCTTTGGGGTCCTGCCAACAGGAAAGTGGGCCTGGGGCAGTGGGGAGTCCAGCCTGGCCTCATGCCCAGGAACAAAGCTGGGACCAGGGAAGTGGCCTGCTAGAGTCCAGCTCAGCAGGACAGAGTTTTCTCCAAGGCAGCTTCTCCTCAGAAGGAGGGACGGAGAACTGGGGCGAAGCCTTCTCTAAGAAACTGCTCTTACCCACGGAGTCTGTGAGATTGAAACTGAGCCCTGACTCCACCAAGGTGCAGGAGGATAAGGTGGCCCATGTTGGGGTGGCAGGTGAGCAGTCCAGGCCACCTTGTGTCAGCTGAGGGAACCCCACCCTCTTGGGGGATGGAACCCAGAGGCCAGGGGCCCTCACCTCATCAGTGTCATCAGGGAAGTAGACCTTGTGGAAAATCTGGGTGGTTTTGTGCTGGATGGCCTCCACCTCCACCAGGTGCGGAGGGTACTTCCGGGACCCATTTCTGAAAATGGGCAGGGAAGGGTGGGATCAGAAGGGGGACCAATGGGACCAGGGAACAGAGGAAACTTTGGAGACAAACTGGGATCTGACCCTCCTCCTCATTTCCTACAGCAGGACCAGCCACTTCTTACATTCTTGAGTTCTTTATCTGGGAAATGTGATAACAGTGCCCAGGTGGCATAGGGCTTTAGAGGGCAAACAAAGTGCAGGGTACCAGAGGGTTTTGTAGGGTCTTGAGTGTGGCCCAGGGGTGCACGCCTGCTGGGCGCACTTAAAGGGATGTACCAAGCACCTCTGAGCCACCAGACTCCCAAACTGTCCAGAGTGCAACTGTGGCTGGCATCTGAGGAGCTCAGGAACAGGTCCCCACAGCTGTGTGGTCATCCTCATCCTCAAGGGCTGGTCCCATGAGCCCAGTGAGGCCGAGGACCAACCCAGTGCTGCTCCCTGTCCCTGGCAGCCCCTGTACCTCAGCGCTTTCTGGAGCCTCTGCAGGCAGTCAATGGCGAGCGGGCAGTGCTTGCGGGACTGCAGGAAGCGCTGGACGTGGGGCAGGAGGATGTTGCTAGGTGGGAAGAGGCCGGTGCAGAGCCACAGCAGCTCCCAGCCCCGCTCCTCACTGTACCTGTGGGAGGAGGCCCCGTAGGAGTCACAGGGACCTGTGTAATCCCAGGGCCACACCCCCAGTTCCTCATCCCAAGGCCCAGCACCACCCACATCCCTGTGGCGGGATCCAGTTAGTGCCACTCACCCTGTGGCCGCCCACCCATGCCAGGCCTTGTACTGTTACCAGTCCACATGGGGACCGGGTGACCCTGCCAGAGTGAAAACCCACTATGGCCAGGGGCTCCGCTGGGGTCAGCTGAGGTTTCACTTTCACAGCAAGACTTTCCCCAGGAAGGAGGAACGTGCAGTTTATACTGCGACTCGCCACACTGGGCACAGCACTGAGTTAGGCCAGCCCCCTACTTGGGACTGAGGCGGGAGGCTTGGAGGGCTTTGAGCAAGGAGGTGGCATTTGATCTGGTCTTTGAAGGCTGAAGCAAATTCTGACAGGCAAAGAAAGGAATGGAGGGCTTTCCTGCCAGCAGGGCCCAGCATGTACAAATGTCTGGTCGTGTGAAAGGTCTGTAGTTCCAGAGGGAATGTGTGCAAGAGCTGGAGAGTGATGAGCCTGGGGAGGAAGGCGGGTGGGGTGATGGAACAGGTCAGGGCTTCCTCAGTCTCTGAGGAAGAAGGAGGCTGACTTCCCTCTCCTGGCTCTGGCTGGCCCAGTGGGGAGAAGGTGACAGCCTCTGGGCTGCTGACCGTGACCCATGAGCATTTTCAGCCACAGCTTCCAACTGACAGCCTTAGCCCAAGCCAGGACAGGACACTGGCTAAACCTGTAGGTCCAGCCATCCCCAGAGCCCCCGTGGCCTGCAGGCCTGAAGAAAGCCATCCACAGAGGCTCACACAGGTTCGAGAAGCAGCAGCTGGAGGGACTCATGCTGATCAACACAGAGGACAGACCAGGAGGGTACAGCCACCACTCCCTGCCCCCATCTTCCTTTCTCATTTTTTGCAGTGCTAGAAATGAACCCCGGGCCTCAAGCCCACTAGGCAAGCGCTGTGCCACTGAACTAAACCCCCAGCCCTACCACCTGGTTCTGGAGGATTGACCTTGGGCTGCAGGCCAAGCTAGGCTGAGTGGCTGCGGAGCCGGCAGCTCCCTCTGTGCAAGGGAGCCGTGTTTCCAGGCAGAGCAGTGCTGCCCGCACCCCACACCCGCTCACCTGATGTGGTTGTCCGTCAGCTGCTTCAGGATCTGCACATATGCCTCATCCTTGAGGGGCTCAGCCTTCAGGGCCCCCTCAAAGATCTGGTCTGTGAGCTCGTTGACAGAGCGCATCCTCTTGGATGGGTAGTCACCCATGTACTTGAGAACAGGTGGGATTGTCAAGGAAGGGCTTGTGGCTGAGTGGGGCACACACTGACCCCGGAGGTAGAAGGCCACCCTCCCCCTGACCCTGGGCCTCAGGCTACTAAGTTAGAAAACTGGAGTGATCTGCCCATCCGCCACGGCTGCTTCACAGGCCACCCTTCCTCAGTCCCCAACCCTCACGGCAGCCAGGATGGACTCCCCAAGTCACCAGTGTGGCTGTTCCATTCCCTGTCCAGGGCTCCCTCTGGTCTCAGGACACAGCCCAAATTCTAAGTAGGGCTTGGAACCCTTCCTTAGTCAGCCCACGTCCTCCAGATGGGCTGAGTTACTTTGTGCCCTGTTTTGCCTCAGGACTTTTGTGCATTCTGCTCCCTCTGTCTGGGATGCTCCCCAGCTGTCTCCCGGTTGCCTGCCAGGTCCTACTCAGCCTTCAGGTCTCAGCCTAGATGCCACATCCCAGCACTGGTTCCTGTTAGCACATCGCCCCCATGAGGCCAGGGGCTGGCTCTGGTCACAGCTCCATTTCCATGCCTGGCCTACAGCAGGCACAATACTATCCATTAACTGAATGACAGGGTCAAAGGAGACAGTGGGAGAGGTGGGGCCTTGCATACTGTAAGATGTGCCTCCACGTGTGCCCAGGACCCAGCCAACCCTCAACAGGAAAAAGGTATCTAGCTGAAAAGCCTCCCTGCCCAGCAGCCCCTGCCCCACTGTCCCCACCTGTCCCCACCCAGTGCAGCATGGATATCGATGAAGGCCATGCAGGCCTCCTGCGAGAGCTCCTCGCTCCCCAGGATCTTCTTGAGGAGGGCCTGCTTGAGTGGCTCCCGTGTGTGGCTCCACAGCCGATCCTTGCCTCGGGCCTTGGACACCATGACGCGGCTCAGCGTGTGCTTGGGTGGGGGCCTGCCACAGCACAGGGACAGTCAGCAGCCATCCCATTGCAGGCAGCCTGGGGAGAACCCCAGTGGGGAGCCCCCCAGCAGCCTGGAAGCCACGGGCAGGAGTAGGCAGTGCTGTCCCCACCCCGCTCTGCCACCAGATGTGCAGATGTGCAGAAGCCACCTCCTGCAGAAAGCCTCTGCCCCCTGCCCACCAGGCCTCCTGGGCACAGTGCTGGGCTAGCAGAGCCAGAGCCCCCCACTTTCTTGCTGTCTCCCCACAGGATAGTGAGGCTGCAACAGGCACTGGTGTGTGACACTGAGGGCCAGGACATGCCTGGGAGGGCGCAGTCACCACCATCTCAAGGAACGATGCCGTGCGCCTGCAGGAAAGCATCATTTCCGGGATGGAAACGGCCCTGCTGCTGACCCTGGCAGGCCCTGCTCACAGGCAGGCATGGCAAAGCTCCTCAGCCCCTGGCCAGAGCCCATAGGAGCCTCTGCCCACCATCCTCTCTCTCGTCCCCAGGAGCTGGCACCTAAAGTAGTCGTAGGAGAACTCCTCCAGCGTGTAGGGCTTGGCGCGCACCTCGGGCTCTGCAGTTCGCAGCTGCAAGAGCCGGATGACATCCTGCCTCTGGTCAGGGGTCATGGTGACCAGGGCCTGCAGGTCAAGAGACAGGGAGCTCATGTCAGCCCTCAACTGGAGCCACTGGGATTACATGGTAAAAGCCCAGTGTCCTGCAACCTGTGGCTGGGGACTGTCTCTACAGGTATTGACCCACTGTTTTCTGACCCCAAGTCCCCTTCCTTCCCCAAGGACCTCAGGTTACTCCGCCTCCATCCTGAGGGGCTCTAAGCTGCATCAACCAGGCTCAGGAGCCGCCTGGGAAGCCGGGCTCTGCATCCTCAGAGCAGAACTCCAAGGGTCTCTGGGAGAACAGGGCACCCAGCCCAGCTGTGCCCACACTGCCTTTCAGACAGTGCAGGTTGACCCCTCCCGCTGGCCACTCTCCTCCCATCCCTGCCCCTGGCAGCTCCTCCTCTGATGTGCGCACTAGGCCCCTCCCTACCTGACACAGGTTGGAGTCTGTGGTGCCTCAGCCCCGCCCCCCACTGAGCATCTGGAGACCATTGATCTATCACAGTCCCTCACTCCACTTTACAGACAGGAGAGAGGACAGAGGGGTCTGAGGAGCCTCCCACCCACCTGCCACTGCCAGACCACATACCACGATCTCCTGTGGCGGCATGGTGACAGTGGGCATGACGTACACACAGTCGGTTGGGAAGTCCCCATGCTGCTTGGTCCTCTCGTTGATGCCGTTGGCCCAGCCTGAGTTCATGACCTGCTCCCCGGTGTCATGGTCCAGGATGATGAGGTCTCCCTTGGCGAAGCTGAGGAAGCCTGACTCCTCACCCGCTTTGGAGCAGAGGTGAGCGGGGGCGACATGGGGGCAGAGAGAGGGGCTGGGTTGGAACATCTTTATTTAGGTTGATGATCCATCAGCCACTCCTCCCCACTGAAGAACTGAGGCCCTGTCCCACTCATGTCTGCCCACCTGGCCACCTGGCCTCTACCTTGTCACAACCTTCTGCACAAAGACACCAGAGGGGGCCACACTCTTGCTCAAAAACTTTCTGTGGCTCCCCATATCCCTTAGGAGAAGACCTACACTGCTGAGCCTGTTGGGAGCTGGTCTCCCTGATTCCTTCCACCTTGCTTCTTGCCCCGCCACCACACTCCAGTCACACCTAACTATGTGAAGTTCCCCCAGGACACGCTGGCTTTCTCTTGCCTCTGCACGTGGTCCTCTGCCCTCCGCCCCACACGCTCTGCTCACTCTGTGCCTCCTCCATGGATTCTGGACTATATGAGGGACTCTCCTCTGAGCACCCACAGCCCTGGGGCTTCTCTGGTCACTGTGCTGTCCCTGGGCCATCATTCTGCCTCCCTCCCCACTGAAGGCAGGTCCACACTCTGCACAGGCCTAGGCAGCCCTGGAGGTGCTTGGCCAGGGTGGTTGTCATGCTGCTGTCATTGATGGCAGAGGGTATTTGGAGAGCACTGAGGGGACCCCTGATCAAATGTGGAGAAGGTGACAGGAGATAAGAATGGAGGACCAAGGGGTGGAGAGAAGAAGGCTCCTCTTGGGCAGAGGTGAAGGCAGTGTTCTGCCACCGGCCCGTTACCCGGGTAGGACAGGTTAAGACAGGTAACGTGGTCCTCGCAGCCTGAAGCGCAGGGCCGGGGCCAAGGTGTGGGGCCTGCCTAATGCCCCAGCTACTCACACCAGCAGCCACTCACCAGGGTTGGGGTTGTCCTGCAAGGCCACCACGTACTTAGACCTCTTCCTGAGCCCCTCCAGGAAGGTGACCACCAGGTCACGGATGTCCTCGGCGTTGTTGGATGTGAAGGTGTACTCATCCCCCTTGATGGTGGCCAGCGTGAAGCTGGGGGCGGTCAGTTTTGCTCCCCTGCAGGACCAACACGGAGAACAGGGCCCAGCCGGGGTCAGTCCTGCGCGGCCCGAGTGAGGTGCTACACAGCCCAGATCAGAGCAGCCCAGCGAGAGCAAGACACGGCACTCCCTGAAGGAGACCAAGCCCAGTCCAGTCAGAGGGGCCCAGACCCAGGGAGCCCAGCCAGAGCAAGGTCTGGTCCAGTAGGGGGAGATGTGGCCCAGGTCAGACGCATCTCAGAGCCCTAGCCAGCATCAGGCATGGCCAGGTGAGGCCCTGGCTGGCCTAGCCCTCTTGCCCTTTGCCTTTGCCAAATCTAAGTCCAACTTGTCCTTCAAGTTGCAGCCTAAATACCACTTCCTTCGAGAAGTCCACCATGTCCTCCCCCAGTCCTTATCACACTGTCCCTTCTCTACAATGGCCTCTTTGATGTCTGTTTCCCTCTACTGAAGCTCTAAGAGGTCTGTCACCACTGAATCTGACGTGTTTAGCACGTGCCTGCTCAGAGCTGGATGTGACCACATCAGATGCAGCACAGAAATATTCCTGCAAGCTCCATATTGGGGGAGGGGGCGCTGCACTGCTGGGAGAGGTGGTCTAATTCAGAAAACTGCCCCCACTGCCTATGTGCAGCGCACCTTAAGGTTTACTAAAAGCTCTCCTATCATTTATTACTTCCTCCCTGTTATCGAAGGAAAATATTCAGAACCCTACTTTAGGAATGGGAACACAGAGGTGAGCCCTGAAGCCCAAGTCTAGCCCTCTCTTGCACACACTGACCTGCTTCTGACTGTCCTTTTACCCTGCTGAGGCGACCTCAGAGCCACCTTTACCATCCATGAGGCCCCTTGTGGGAGGGGCCTGAGGGCTGCGTAGCGCAGCACAAACAGCTCGGCTGTGTGAAGCCAGACAGGCCACTGTGCCTGTGCCCCCCACAACCCGTGATGCCCTGTACCCCCTCCTTCCCTGCAGGTCCATCTGTGCTCCACGTGCTCCTCCTCACCTGCTGCTGGACACAGCCATGATCTCTGGGAAGGACAGCTCCAGAAGCACCTGCTCCTGCTCATCCACAAAATAGATGCCTGTCCAGTTGACAGCCACAATGACATCATTCTTAGGGAGACTGGGGCCTGGGACAATGACAGAGACACTTGGAAGGTGGCCTCCCCACTCCTGGATCCAGCCCCTCCTGATTATCATAACTGTCAAGGAGGCGACTAGGACAGAAGTATAATGATTCCCATTTTGTGAGCAAGAAAACTGCGGCTCAGAGAGCACAGCGGCTCAACAAGCCAAAACCCAAGGTGCAGTAACCATATTTGGAGATAAGGTGCAGGGAAGAGAGTGCTGGGTCAGGAAACCCGGCTTCAGTCATATCTGCCATGGTCTCTGTGCAGCTTTGGACAAGTCCTTTCCTGCACCAAGGTGGAATGTGGGGTTAGACAACAGAGCCCCACGGCTCCCTGTGGCCCTTACATCTGGTGATTCTGTGAAGCCCAGCATCAGCACAGGGCCTGGCACAGAGCAGATGCCCAGTAACGATGGCCCAAGGACGGCTGAGCAAAGGGCCTGGGCAATTGGCACAACCACGCCCACACTCAGCTTCAGGGAGACAGCTTAGCACAGCTGGCCCACCCATCCTCTTCTATCCACGTGAGGTGCTTTAATGATTCCAGTCCTCATCCAGTTGTTCAACCCAGCACACCATGAGCACCTACTATGTGTCATGGAGTCACTGTTGGACTGCAGGTTGACAGAGCAACTCTGCAGCATGATCTAAAAAGAGCAGGCACCCTGCAGGCAGGAGTCCGCTGACGGGGAGCTGGGCTAAGTTCCCTCTCTGCTGTGAACTGAGAGACTGGGAGACCAGGGGTTACCTGAGAACTTATAGGCTTCATAAAACCTGGAGAAGAGCAAGGGCCACTTGAAGCGGGCATAATTGACCACATCCTCTTTGACCTTCTGGGCATCCGTTCTCCTTTGGGCATAAATCCCCTGGAGAGGACAGAGAAGGAAAGAAGGTAGAAGACAGTATATAAGTTCTAGAAATCATACATCCCTGCCGCTAGTCAGAGGTGGCCCAGGGCTCCTGTGCCCTCCTGTGCATTCCTGATGGCCTCACCCTGTTCCTGATGGCCTCACTCTGTTCCTGATGGCCTCACCCTGTTCCACAGCAGCCCACGCCACCCCCAGTTGATATCAGTGAGCCCTTGTGTGGATTAATACTGCCTCTGTGCAGGTCCTGGGACACAGAGAAAACATGGGTGCCACCCCCAGGGAGTTCCCAGTTTAGCAGAAACTGGGTAGGTCCAGGCCTTAGAAAGGTCAGGTACAGAGGAAGGATTACAGACCTGAGGTAAGGCCAGCAGCAAGGGGACTGCAATGGCCCTGGCAAGGAACAAAAGCACTAGTGCTTTGTTACCCCAAACACGTCCCCCCAGGCCCTTGTGAGACCTCTGTGCGTTGAGGTGGAATTAGAAGGATCAGAATGAACTCATGGTTTTGACAATATGTAGACACAGACAAGGATGAAGATAACGGTGTGTGCCAGCTCAGACTGCCCCATTTTCATCTTGGAGAAGGTCAGACCTTGGAAGAGTGAGCACTCAGGGTGACGTGCTTGACATTGACACTGCAATGAATCTCAAAATGTTCAGAAAAATAATATGTAGGTATGCAGAGAGAGAGAGAATCACAAAGCAAAGGTGGCTTAGTCCAGATGAAATGTGCATAACAGGTCTAGTTTTTGAACTTGCAACTTCTCTGGAAGTTTGCAATTATTTCAGAATGAGATTTTTTTTTAATTTTTTTTTTTTTTAGTTGTTGATGGACCTTTATTTTATTTATTTGTATGTGGTGCTGAGAATCGAACACAGTGCCTCACGCATGCTAGGCAAGCACATTACCACTGAGCCACAACCCCAGCCCCCAGAATGAGATGTCTTTAAAATACCTCTCCGTTTTAGTTTGAATGGTGTCCACCACCCCCACCCTGCCAACAAATTCATGTGTTGAAGTCCTAAACCCCCTGGTAACCATATTTGGAGATTAAGGTCTCTTGGAAGTTAAAATGCCATCTTTAGGGTGGATCCTACCCCAATGACTGATGTCCTTATAAGAAGAGGAAACTGGACACAGACTTGCATGAGCACAGAGGAAAGACCATGTGGAGACAGATGGAGAAGATGCCACCTGTGGGCCAGGAGAGGCCTCCATAGAAACCAACCCTGCCAACACCCCAGTCCACACTTCCACTCTGGAACAGAGGTGTAAACGTCTGTCCTTTCAGCCCAGAGCCTATACTGCTTCACTAAAACAGCTCCAGCCAACTGACAGCCTTCCCACCCCACAAGAGTCATTCACATCTGGCCCCCTGCGAGGGCAGCATGGGGCTCCATGTGAGGGAGGCCTGGATGCAGGGGATGAGAGAGTGCGTCCACTAGTGTGCCAAGAGGAGTCTGCTGTGAGACAGCAGGGATCTCTTGGATATGGGAAGGCCTATGGGTCCTCTGCCAGCAGTCAGTGCCCCCAGCCCACCTGGGTGCCCCACTTAGGCAGGCCCCTGAGCTTGGCTGGGAACTGCTCATATCTGGTCACAGACCTGGGGCTGCAAGCAGGGGCTATACCTCATTCTCCAGACAGGAAGGCTGCTGGCATTCTTTTCTTTTAGGGAAAAGAAGGGGCATTTCCTAGTTGCAACCTGAGACACCAGGCGAGGCCACCACAAGACCCTGTGACCTCAGGAAGCTGTAGGACTGAATTTGACTCTTCTCTGTGTCCCTGGTTCCCAGCCCAGAGTGGTTGTTATGGTTTGGATATTCAGTGTCCCCAAAAAGCACATGTGTGAGATAAGGAAAGAAATTTCAGAGGTGAAATAAGTAGATTATGAAAGGTGTGGCCTCATAGGTGGATTAATCCATGGATATGGATTAACTGGGTGATAACTATAGGCACCTAGGGTGTGGCTGGAGGAGATAGGTCAATGGGGGTGTGCCTTTGGGTTTATATTTTGTTCCTGGTGAATGTCAGTCTCTCTCTCTCTCTCTCTCTCTCTCTCTCTCTCTCTCTCTCCCTCTCTCCCTCTCTCCCTCTCTCCCTCTCTCTCTCTCCTTCCTGGTCATGTCCTGAGCTGCTTCCCTCCACCATGCCCTTCCACTGGGACGCTCTGCCTCACCTCAGGCTCAGAGCTGTGGAGCTGGCCATCTATGCACTGAAACCTCTCAAACTGTGAGTCAAAGTGATCTTTTTCCTCTTCTATGTTTTCTTGTCAGATCTCTTGGTCACAGTGACAAAAAAAGCTGACCAAAACATTGGATGACAGAAGACCCATGTGAACCCATGTCCACAGGGGAGAAGTGTGGAGGTCCTGACCCCCGCAGCCCCACAATCAGGAGATGCCAGGTGGGACCATGACTGCCTGGACTGCGCGCTCCTCCCCCGGCTCCACATCCCCTGATGCCCTCTTACCTTCTTGTGGGCAGCAATGGCCAGCTGGGCCCACTTCTCAAGTGTCTTCAGGGGTGTGATCTCGCGGTCCGGGATGTAGGTGGGGACAAGGTTCAGCAGGCGCTCCAGGATCATCTCGGAGCCATAGTCCACGAAGTACTGCTGGGAGGCCAGCTCCGCCAGGTCATCCTCCTGTGGGAAGGGACCTCAGTCGTGCGTGCGACCCGTACCCTCTGCCCTTTCAGACTCCTAAAGCCTTCAGGTTGCTCTCCTGGCCCTGTCTCCTGTAGTTCTGGGCCCTGCCCCTTGGGACCCTGCATTTTCACTGATTTGCTGGGGTTTTCCTGAGGGCCACACCCCTGCCTTCTCCTGGGTCCCATTAGCTCTATGCTGGACTCTGACCAGGGGCATATGAGCTGAAGAGACCAGTCAGCCTGCCAGGAACGGGCCAGCCACTGCATGTCCAGCCCTCTGCTACAGCAACCGGGGCGGATGAGCAGAAGAAGAGGATGTGCCTGTCCTGGATAATGGGAGACCTGGGACCACGGGGGATGAGCAGAGAGGGAGTGCATCACCATTACCGTCTCCATCACCATCACTCTGCCCCTGGGGGTGTCCAAGTAGTGAACAACCAGTGGCTCTGCACACAGGCTTCAGAGGACCAGGTGGACACTGGGCATTTGCTGCCTCTCTGCTGGGTGATGCCTACCTGGGTCTCCCCAGGGCTCCAGCAGCAGGGGCAACAGAGAAAAATTCTGGGGGCCTTAAAGGCAATCGATATTTTCCAATGAGTTTGAAGCATTTCAGAATTTCAGCAACTAATATGGCTGTTCCAACAATGAATACCATCAGCACCAACACCAACAACATCACTACCAACAACAGCATCATTACCACCATCAACACTGCCATCACCACCACCAATAACGACACCAGCACCAACACCATCACCACCTCCACCACCCCACCACCAGGCACCACTGTCCTCATGCCTATCCTCACCCTCCATCACAATCGCCAGCAGAACCCTAAATACCATAAGCAGCACCATCACCATCACCAAAAACAAGACGACCACATTGCTCCAGTCCTCAGGAGGAGACAGAGGATACATACTTGTAAATTCTGGTCTAAAGGACTGAATCTGTTTCCCATTCAGAGCAGAGTTTACTGGACTAACCCAGAACCATAAGCACACACACTATGCCATGCAGTCACAGCAACGTGTAGGACACCTTCCAGGGGTGGAACTTGGTATACTCTTCAAAGCCCCCGCTACCATCATTGTATCTCCTCCTCACAGCTCCTGTGAGGCAGGTTGTCTTAAGTCCAGCAGAGGCCTGGAGAAGGTCCAGCTGCAAGCAGCCACTCTCAGCATTAGCTGATGATAGGTCACAGACAGGAGCACCTGGCCCAGATTGGGTAAAAAGGTGTCTGTGGGCCAAGCAAGCGCAGTAGAGGATCTGCCTTCACTCACCTTCTCACACCTGTACTCCCCGAACTTGACCCCGCGCACCACCTGCTGGTAGATGAGGTTGGTGGCCACGTTGTCTTCTGAGGGGTTGTGCCAGGGTGTGAAGACCTCTTTTCGGAAGAAGAGCCTCCAGGGGGCATTGCGCTCCTGGGCACCCTGCTCCTTGGCATACTGCTCACACTGAGAGATGGCGTCCATGACATGGTCACTGCCACTGCCCAGGGAGGACACCTGTGGGCACCGGAGAGAAGGCCCAGTAGAAGGGTGGGCAGGCATGGAATCAGGGAAGAACTACAGGAAGCCACCAGCTGTGGTCCTGGTCCAGATGGAAAACAGACCCAGAGAGAAGCAGGATGTGCCCTAGGTCCCCTAGAAGGCAGACCCAAATGGGATCCCCAGGTCCCATGGGTTCTGAGCTGGCACCCCAAGTTATTAACTTTCCAGCCTCAGTCATGGGCACACTTATGTGGAAGTTGCAATTTCCTAGTACAAATCCTTTGTGAAGCTGTTGGACAAACTGTCACTGAAATCTACAAGTGAGAAAAATCCTGGTAGAGTGTCCAGAACAAGGTTCTGACCCTGGACCTGCCGGGTGGAGAAGAAGGCAGCAGAGGAGCCTGAGTCCCCGAGCCCGAGAGGCTCACACACACTGCTAYAGAAGAAATGTGTGACTGCTTGTCATTTCCCCGCCCACAGCATAGCAACCGCGCAGGGAACGGTTGTGAGAGAACTGGCTGCCTGCTGCCTGTCGGGGCCCTGTTCCTTCTCAGCACCAACAGAGGATTCCTCCCACCTGGGCCCACACGACTGAAGAGCGCCCCCAGCACCCGTCCTAATGAGTCAGCCAGAACCGGGGCTACCCCTGGCTGGAGTCACCTGAGCCAGGAGTTAGCACTAGCACAGAAGAAGGTAGTTCCCCCACCCAGAGTGGCGTCAGGAGGTGATGCGGCTCCGCCTTACCTTATCAAACAGGGCGATGTACAGGGAGAACCCAAAGCGGTCCTTGAGCGAGATCTTGTCGGCCAATGCATTGCATAGCTCCTTGGCTGTGGTTGCTGAGTCCGTCAGAAGGGTCTTGGTGGTCCCATCCATGAATGTCACAGGTAACATGATGGGCTTCTTGGACTTAGTGGCCTGGAAGTGACCCCAGAGAGTTTGAGGATCCCTTCACTTCTGACGAGCTTACTCTCTCTGGACTCTGGCCTCCTGCTCCCACTGAGTGAATGGGATCTGCCCCTAGACCCCAGGTCCCTGCCATCCCACCAGGACACTATCCCTGTCACAGGTGCCTAGGAGCCGTGCTCCACAGCCCATTCTAATGGGACCTTCAGGGCCCCTGAGCAAGGCCTCTGAGCCGGGCCCCTAGGGCTGGGAGGTTGGGCACTGCCACAGGTCGAGCTTCTGACCTTATTTCACATAAGGACATCACAAGACCCTGCAAGATGAGTATCACCATCCCCAGGTTGCTGGCAGAGCCTCGGAGATGCAGAGGGAATCCCTCTTGCCCAAGTGATTTTGGTACAAAGCCATCAATCCTTTGGGGGTTTTTCTGTTCTGAAGGGCCTGGGACTCCAGAACAGAGGAACAGAACTCAAAGCGGGGAGCATTTCTGGGACACTGGGGTGCACTGAATACACACTTGCTGCAGGCAGGGACGCACCTGTAGCTCCAGCCAGCTGGGCGGCTGCGTCCGAGTCCCATTGACAAAGGTCCTCCTCAGGCGCTCCTCACAGTACGGGGCATAGCCAGGCGGTCCCCCGTGGATGAAGTTCCGCAGGTACTACAGACAGGGGACCCAATGAGGCAGCTTCCAGCCAGCCTCCCTAGGCCGCCCCAGCCTGGACCATTCCAGCAGCCTTCAGCACCTTGCCCACACTCGGAACCTGCCTCTCAAGGTAGGATTGCCCACACCCCTCCTCTCCATGCTCCAGCCATGGCTCCCGCGGCCCTCAGGACATGTACTGTGGCTCGGCAAGAAACCCACACAGTCCAGCTCCACCTTTCTATGCCATGTCTCCAGCCTCACCCCGCACCACCATCTCCCCTGTCCCAGGCATAACTGTCCTCCTCCAGAGCCCTGTTTGGACTCCACCACCTCCTCCAAGCTTACAGCACCCTCCAATCAGGCTGGCACCCCCAGTACCCAAGGCCTAGCTCCGAGTTGAACTGAAGTGCCTGACCCAAGTCACATGCTCAGAGGGCCCAAGACACCCTCCTGACTGACTCCAGCTTAGTAGAATGGGACCAGGGGTGGTGGGACTGAACAAAGTGGTGGCTGCCTGGCAGCAGGACCCCAGTAGGATGGGTCTGGGTGGGGGGTGGTGAAGCCTGAGAGGCCCCAGGCCCCTGATAGGGTTGGTCACCAGGCCCTGCTGAGCGGCCTCCTCTGCTTTCTCCTCTTGATGCCAAGACAGGGCCTGGCTCCTCTTCCTCCTGGGGGCCTCCCTACCTTAACAAACTTCTCAGAGGGGGCGAAGCAGCCCACGCAGAGAGACACGAGGATCCAGCCCCGGGCGTAGCTGCTCTTGGAGGGGTTGTGGGTGAGCTGCTTGCTGATCTGGCAGTAGATCTCATCCCTAGGCAGGAGGAGAACCGCCTCAGAGGAATAGCCCCAGCCCCACCACTCCCAGCAGCAGGTGTGATGCGACATCGCGGTGTGGTCCCATGTGCCCAAGACCATCCAGGGGGAGGCAGTGTGGGCCAGGTGGGGAAGGCTGAGCCCAGCGCTCTAGGGAGCCACCGAAGAGAATCTTGCTTTAGAGACAGGATCATCAGGCAGGAAGCACGTTGATAACTCCAATCCAGAGTCCACCATGCAAAGGGTGGTATGTATCCTGCTCTGGGCACAGCAGCCACAACCCCTGGTGGCAATGCTGATGAGAAGCACAGGCCTGCCCCTGTCTGGTCCCGACCTGCTGGCTGCCCCAGGCAGATGGGTGGGCTCCATTCTCTGACCCCAGCCCATAGTCAGGGACAGTTTCTACTAATGGCAGCTGGTAGAGCAAAAAACAAGCCCGGCACCTGGGGCTGGATGAATGGGGACTCTAACTTCTCCAGATGCATTCCTGTAATGTTGGGATTTTAAGTGGCTATTACTTTTGTACTAAGATGAAAGAAATTTTTGTTTTCATTTTAAAGGGATCCTTTCAGGATTGCTGTGCAAAAATATAAGTCAAGGTGTGTAAAACACCCTGCACAGGGCCTGGCATAGGGGCTTCATGAAAGGGGAGCTGTGATGGTCACTGCTGTTGTGAGCAACGTCTCTCCTGGTCCCTAAGCCTTTAAGAGAGCCTGCTGGCTCAGGGCTGAGGGAGGGCRCATGGTGGCATGCTGACCACCAGGGGGCACTTGCTGCTCCCCTTGGCTGCCCTGGGCAGGAAGAGGGATGATCTGATTCAGTGGCTTTCCAATTTTGAGTGACTGTGGGCCAATATGATTTAAATTTCAGAAGTTGCCCACTCTTTTTAATCATGACAAAATAAGAAACACACACATACCTATACACACACCCTGCACACTACCCTATTTCCTAAAACGAAGGTCATCTAAGATATCCAAAGCCAGGTAGGGAGTGCAGCTCAGTGGTAGAGCCCTTGCCTGGCATGTGTGGGGACCAAGGGTCAATCCCAGTATTTAAAAAAAAAAAAAAAAAAAAAAAGGCCCCAAATTCCAGAGGTCTAAATCTCAGAACCAAGAGCAATGCTTAAAGTTAGAAAACCGTAGCTGCAGTTCCCGACTTGTCACAGACCCGTGAAAATCTTATCCCCTGCTACTACAGGCACTGGCGTGGTCCCTCAGGGAGTTCATCCCCCAGCCTTCCAACTCTTGGTCCAGGCATCCCAACATGGAGGCTGTGACAATGAGAAGACTGGGTGGCCCTTCTAGAGGGGTGGCCCTCAAGCAAGGCAGTACCTGGCTTTGGGGAGCGATGGGAGGAGACTCTCCTGGAAGGCAGGAGGTCTGGGAGGCCAAGTGACCCTGGGCAAGTTTCTTCCCCACTCTGAACCTGTTTTCTCATCAGGAAAATGGGGCTGACCCCCACCCCAACAGGCCAGCCCCCAGCAGCAAACAAGTTCATGGGCTCGGCTCACCTCACCCCTTCCTGTGCTGCTGCGGTGGGGGAAGCCTGCCCACCCTCACGCCTAGCTGGGCGGATCCATTACTTGCTCCTGGTGACTCCCAGGTCTTCGCATCACATCCCTGACCACTGTGGCCTAGATAGAGGCTCTCCTGGCCTCAGGGGAGGGTACAGTGGCAGGGTCGCCCGGCATGCTGCCCATGGTGACCCTGAACTCAGGTAACAATAGTTATAGTTACTATTACTGAGTGGCTTTTACACACTTCTTGTCTTTGTGGCTTTCCACGAGCCTAGGAGGGGCACCATTATTTTTCTCCTTTATAGATAAGAAAAAAGGCTTAGAGAGACCAAGGAACCTGAGGTCGCACAGCCAGCTGGCAGCAGAGGCAAACACAGGCCTTTGGCTTAATCTGTTGCTAAGGTGATGAAGTCACAACCCAGCTGCCATAAGCCTTCCAGCCCTGCCCGGGGGTGCCGGGCGCCCCCTCGTGGCCTCCCTGGGCCCCTCAGGTGCTGACCGCAGTGCTGGCCGCAGGATGCCATTGCCGATAATGAAGTGCAGCTTCTCCAGGTTGGAGGTGGGCCGGTCCTCCAGCATGCTGTTGCCCTGCACCGTGGACTCCCCGTCATGCAGCCTCTTCGTCACCTGGGCCAGGGGACACAGTTAAGGGCAGGTGAAGCTGGGGACCTGAAACTGCCTAGTCTCCAGAGCAGATCCAGGCAGCAGGCAGAGGAGTTGGGCTCCCCATCACTGACCCTGCTGCTGCCACCACCCCTCCCTGCAGACCAGATGCTGGGCCAAGAGCTGCTCACATGGCCTGGGAGCACTGGCCTGGCACCTCCGCTTCTGGAAGAAGTTTCCCCCAAACCTTCTTTGACACCCACTCCCAGCCTCCACTGGAGGAGGACCGTTCAGCCAGAATGGAACCCCCCTCTCTGGGGTGGGGTCCCTCATACATCTCTGGCACCAGAGTACACCCTGGGTTCCACCCACACAGTCACCAAGGCCCCTGACCCCAGTGTGCCCAGCTTCAGAACTGGTTCCTAGGAATCAGTGCCCCCGCTTTGGGGCCACAGCAGCAGCCCCACACTCTGCCCAGATGAGTGAGCAGCTGGAGTGTGGGTTACAGATGGGAAGGGCTGTGGAAGGTTCCCACATCTCCTGAGCACCTCTGCTGCCATCTTGGGCCCCTCTCCCATGACCCCTGGGAGTGGGCATTTTCTTGCCTTGGCTCCTCTAATTCCAAGTACAGAGCTGGGATTCAAATCTGAGCCCACAAGACTAGCATCTTGCATCGGGTGGGGATGGGACAAGGGCAGAGGCAAAACAGGAGCCTCTGACTTTGTAATAAGGGGCAAGGAAGAGGATCCTGGGAAGAGGAGATTCCCAGGAAGAAAAGGGGAAGGAGGTATTTCAGGTGTGTGCCAGGAGGAGCGTGTGGGGAGCTGGCCCAAGCTGTGAATGTCATGGTCTGTGTCGGCGTCGCAGCCCCCACCAGCCTGCACCACCCTGGAGCCCTAGGGCCAGGACAGTGCTCAGAAGATGAGGGAACCGACTGAGTGAACTCAGAGCACTCAGGGGAGCAGACGTTCTGCCATCTCAGCCACAGAGGAGCGCCCACCTGAAAGGTCCTTTGATCAAACGCCCCAGGCAGGTGTGACCCCCTCACCCTGCACCACTCGGACGCTCCCCATTCCTGCTCTGCGAAGCCCTCCCTGGCCCCAGCCTCAGCCCACCGCATTTTCCATGCCCTCCTGTCTGCTCAATCCTCCCACCACGTTGTCCTGTCCCCTAAAGACAGGCAGCATTGACTCCTGCTCCTGCTCCTGGGGGGTCCCAGTTCAGTCGGCTGCAGCTTAAGGCCCCGGGGTCCACTCTCACCTCCTCTGTGAGTTTGGACTTCTTCTTCAGGGTCAAGTGCACCAGTTTATGCCTCACACTGCTCTTCTTCTGCCCCTCAGGGAGTTGGGCCTGTAGGACCAACTAGGGTCAGGGGCAAGTGACTGGGCAGAAAGCAAAGACAAGACCACCTGACAGTGGGCTGCACCTGGGATCAGCTGACCTCCACACTGACAGAAGACACGCCCCACCCTGCACCCTGCCACCCTGCACCCTGCACCCACCCCCACCAGCCAGCTGGCAAATGGGAAACAGACTCAGAAAAGCATAATGACCCCCCCCCACTCAGTTCCCCCAAAGAGTCGTCACAGGAGCTGGCTCCAACAGCAAAGCCCTGCTCTGCCATGAGCCCCTGGGTCACCATCACTTCACAGTTTACACAACTTTCACACTTTTGCTTCCATAAGTAGAGAGAGAAGGCTGGGGATAGGGGAGGGGAGGCAAATCGCAGGGTGCTCTTTCTGCTGAGGGCGCTGAGGCCAGGCAGGCCCCTCCACTGGCCTGGGAGGGTCATCAACTCTGGGGGGGGAGGGGGGAACCTTGGTCTGACCTCACTCTCGCCCTGCAGGGCCTGCAGCTCCCTCTTGTATGTCTTCTTGCCCAGAGTCTCATAAATCTTGGTCATCACAGGGATCTTCTCGCTGCCGTCACTCATGGCTGTGTGGTACTTGGGCTCCGGGAGGTCCCCCATGAACCTCAGGATGGTGATCCAGACTGCCAGAGCCGCCTGGGGGCAGAGCGCAGATGTCAGGAAACCGGAGCAGAGGACATTGCTAACACCATGGAGATAGCCCGGGATTCGAGGAGAGGGCTTGGAGAAACACCCGCCCACGTGGTGTGGCCCTAGGCTGCGCCCCAGGTAGGAGACGGCAGTCAGACCCAGGCCCTGCCCACCCAGGACATGCCATCCGGGCAGCACCCCCAGCCCCAGCCCGGCCTTGCTAGCAGGGACCAGCAGCAGGCAGGCCTCACCAGCTGGTCGCCCTCATCATCATGGTAGAGCAGCGGCTGTTTGAGTGGCCGCCGGGTGTAGGAATGTGTGGTTGTGCCCTGGAAGTAGGTGGCAGCAAACTTTGCAAATTTGTACTCAGAGAGGTCCTCCTCGTCCTCGTCAGGCAGGGGCAGGGCCGCATCCACATCCTCCTCCACCATCTCTGTCCGCCCTTGCTCCAGGTCCTGATGGACACAGAGGGGTTCCCTGCCATGTGGGCCTCGGGTGGGACGGCCTGAAGCAGACTCAGGTTGACTGCCATCTCACATCCTCCCCGCAGAGCCAGCTCCTCCTCCAGGAGGGTCGGGGCTCTGCATGTCCTGTCTGCTGCCCAAACACAGTGGTTCTTCAAGAAGGCTCCAGAGAGGGACAGTGACCTGCCTAAGGTCACATGGCCAGCAGGGTCTGGATGGGGTCTGGGAGCCAGCTCATCACCATTCTCTGCTCAGAGGGGTCAGTTGGGTTTTAATGCAAGGGGACACACACAAGAGGAGGAAGGACCATCACACAGTGGGGTGTAGGCTGTCCCCAGTTTGGTACCTCAAAGCCACTAGGTGCCTGGCCCTCCTGGCCTGGCAGGCCACCCGAAGTCCCCAGGAAGCCAAACATCTTGTCCACCATGTCAGAGTGATTGATGGGCTCGTGGCGGGCCTTCTCCATCTGCTCCAGCAGCTCCTTCTTCTGCCGAGCCGCCTCCTTCTCCTTCAGCTCCCGCTCTGCGTCCTCACGAGCCAGCTGGGCCAGGCGTTCCTGAAGGTTGGGGTGAGGCAGAAGGGGTGGGATTGGCATCCAATGCCACAGCCTCAGGAAGCACGCTTTCCTTAGGGAACCCAAGGTTGGGACAGCCTCAGTTCTAACCTCTACCAGGGCCTCCTGAGTGCAGGGAAGAACTGCACCCCCATCTTTCCCCTCCTGGCCACGCTCAGCTCTGCCCTGACGGTGCAAGGCAGAGAGATGCCCAGCACCTCTGGGCCACAGAGAGGCCTCTGGAGCAGCCTTGCCCATCCCCCAGGGCTCAGCCTGGAACCTCTGCCCCAGGCAGCTCACCCCGCACCAACCCAGAAATCCCACAGCCACAGGGCGGAGGTCTAGATCAAGTACTACCCAACAGAAATATGATAGAAGACACACATGTAGTAGCCATAGTTTAAAAAGCAAAAAGAAGCCGAGCACAGTGGTGCATGCCTGTAATCCCAGTGGCTTGGGAGGCTGAGGAGGAGGACTGTGAGTTCAAAGCCAGCCTCACAAACTTAGCGAGGCCCCCAGCATCTCACCGAGACCTTGTTTCTAAAGAAAATGTACAAAAGGGTTGGGCATGTGGCTCGGTGTTTAAGCACCCCTGGCTTCAATCCCCTGTACCAAAAAAGAAACGTGATGTTAATTTTAATAATGTTATTTACCAAATATCATCTTAACCCGTGATCAGTATTATAGAAACACTGAGGTCTCCTCAGTCCTTTCGCCTCCGACTAAGCGTCCAGAATCTAGATCAGGTATCTCAGTGCTCTCAGTCCAAGTGTTCAGGAGCCCTGTGGCTGGTGCTCCCACATCGGGCTGCACGGCCCTCGGGGCTGTCCCCCTGCTCAGGCTTTTTATCCCCCGTGAGAGAAGGTGCCTCCTGCTCGGCCCAGTGAGAACCGAGACATGGGCCAAATGCCACATGCGCCAAGTGTGCCTAAGAAGAGACACCTCCTGATTGAAGGCAGGAGGGTCTCAGGACAGGTGATGAGTGGCTGTGCTGGAGGAAAGCCATGGAGCCAGCCAGCAGACCAGGACATCAGGTGTCCCCAGCTCACCTGATGCTTGCGCTCTGCCTCCTCCTTGGCCTTCTTGGCACTCATCTCTTTCCGGAGCTTCTCCTCCTCCGCCAGCCGCATTTTCTCCGCCTCTAGGCGCCTCAGGTACTAAGGAAAGGGACAGCCAAGGAATGTCAAAACACTGGCGCAGTACTTGTCATGGCAGGGTGAGCCTGGGTTCTGGAACTGAGAGCACCTGACGAGCAGTTTGGCAGACAGGGAAACGGACAGCTGAGACTCTCCAGAGCAGGTCGGATCTCAAAGCCAAACCAGGTTTGCGGGGGCCCTGAAGATCCACTAGGGTGACTGGGGCCCAGCCCAGCCTCGGCTGGGAGGGTGGGAGTGGGCTCTGTAACTCCTCAGTCCTGTAACTCCTCAGAGCTGGCCTAGCCAGAAGTCCCCCCTAGGCCTCGGCCTCCTTGGCCAACACCAGGGCTGACCCATCTGCTGAGGCAGCACACACCTCGGTGGACACCCCTTCTGGGTGCAGGGCTTGGGTGCTGGGACTTTGTGGTCCTCACCTCTGCCCGGAGGCGCCGGTGCAGCCTGCGGGCGATCATGCCCCTGGCGTAGGCCTGCACGGTGAGCACCGCCCAGAGGCGGTGGCGGAAGGCCTTGCGCACCAGGTAGGCACGGCAGCGGGCCTGGAACTGGATGATGCGCTGGCGGGCCAGGCAGTACTGCTGGTGCAACTTCCGGGCGCGGTGCAGGGCCTGCAGCCGCAGGAAGCCCAGGCGCATCTGCAAGGACATGGCCCTGCACTCAGAGACTGAGCCACCACCCCTCCCAGAAGGACCCTGCCAGCAGCAGCCTCCACTGCACAGGTCTCCAGTTCCAGACAGGCCTCCTCCCGAGGCAGCAGCTGCGCTGCTTCACAGAGGTCCACAGGACCCAGCCGCTCTGGGGGTCCCTTCTGAGGTCTTGGTAACCCCAGAGTACTCACAACTCACCAAAACGTTCCCGAAGAAAAGCAGCAAACATTGCTGACCAGTTGGGAAGAGCCACAAAGACTAGACCTGGACTTTGGTTGGAGGACAGGTAGGGGCAGGCCCTGGGAGGCTCACCAACTCGTAGTTCCTCCTGCAGGTGTATCCCCGCCAATGCTTCTGGATCAGTGTGGCAGCATTCTTCAGCTTCAGGAAGTTGGACCTGAAACAGCCGTGGTTATGGAGTGAATCTCAGAGCACAGAGCTAGTTCTAGAGGCAGCCAGGGTACAACTGGCTTGGGATCAGGAAAGCACACTGGGACCCAGCTCTGTGATGCCCCAGCTGTGTGACCTTGGGCAAGACACTGACCCTTTCTGTGCCTCAGCATCCTCTTCTAGAAATAGGGTAGAATAATGCCCACTCTTCCTGCCTCACAGATTGGTCACATGAGCCCATTAAAGCAGATATTCAAAAGGTACTTGATAAAGGAGTGTCTGAACAAATTAGTAAAATAATGTAAAAGACTAAGAGCTTTCAACAGTCTAACTTCCAATTTTATTGATGAGGAAGCTGAGACTTGAAGTTGGGACTAGAGCCCCTGTCTGTCTGACTCTGAGGAGCTCAGGGCTGTCCTCCTGCACACAGTAGGCTGCTTCTCCAGAGAGTCGTCTCCAGCCTGATGGAGGACGAAGAGACCACACATCAGACAGCAGTGTGTGTGGAAAGTGGGAAAAGACAGGGGTTAAGGATGCAGCCGCAGCAAATGAGCCCCAGTGGGCGGGGATCAGTGGATGGATGGATAGAAGAAGGGACAGACAGAAGAGGGCAGATGGACTGGTGAATGGATACAGGGTGGGGGAAGGGCCACAGGTACTGCAAAAGGGGCAGGTCATAGATTTGCGTGGAGCTGAATCACATTCGAGTTAGTCCTGCCCATTTGCGAATTGTCACAAGCGTACACACGTCCCTTACATAAAATATAAGACGCACTTTGTAATTTACAAAATCTCAAATTTCCTCTTTGGGAAACTCCACTGGCCTCGAGATGAACAGAGGGTGCGTGAGTGTGCCTCACGGCCTCATGTGCCCACCTGTGCCCACAGGAGAGCGCACTGTTCCTTGGTTTACCTAGCACGGGGGAACTTTGTGAATCTCACGTCTGGTTCCTCTGTCTGTGTGAGCATGTGTGTGCTTTCTACGCGTGCACCGCAGTGTGCCTGTCCACTCCTGGTGTCCATGTGGGAACAGAGTGAGCCCCCTGGGCACACGCACCTTAACCTGGGCTGGGGTGGCAGGAGCTGTTGGGGCACGTACCTGTCTTTGAACCCCCGGATGATCTTCTGGAGGAGGATGACTCTGTCAGTGATGGCCTTGTCCCGCTCCACCTCCAGCAGCATGTCATGGTGATCCTGGAAGGCACAGCTCCTGAGCAGCGCCCAGACAGTGTCTCCTCCAGGCCAGGCCTAGGGCTCAGGGGCGCCACCCAATCTCCCACACATGCTCGGACCCAAGGGTGGCCTCCCATCGCATCAGGGGCTGTGGAGGTTTCCAAGAGGCCCAGCAGGACCCACGGAGCAGAACAGCCATCATTTCCCTGGACAGGGTCATAGGGCCCATTCACACGCCCCCCAGCTTTGCCCCATGGCCATCTCTGCCCAAGCAGAGACTTCCCAGGACCCTACCCAGGCCACTGTCATTTCTCTCTAGAATCCTGGCAGCAGCTGACATTTCCAGCTGTTTCTCCTGCTAGCTCCTGACCCAACCCTCACTCCAGTTGGAAGAAGCCTCATTGGTTCATTCAACACATGAACAGAACATCTGCGCCATGCTGTGCTGGCTTCTGAGGGCAGTGTCACAGCAGGCCAGGCTGACATGGCCCTGCCTGTGGGCAGGTGAGGCTCTCCTAGGAGAGCCACCTCCACCAAACAATCCCAGACACACAGCACAGAGGAGCGGCTCAGTCAGGGCTTCTGAGGACAGAAGAATGAATGAAACTTCCACCTTTGACCTCTTAAAATGTCACCATTTCTAAAGAGCCCAGAAAGGTAGGGATGGAGATGATGATGCTCCTCTGAGTTCCCCGGCTCTAGATGACATGGTGCTCCCTGCCTGTCCTCCTCTGACGGGGCTGGATATTAGACCACCCCGGGCTAGAAGCCCTGCTCTCTGCATCCTAGCTGCCTGACCTGGGGACACTCACTTCTCCTTTCTGGGCCTGGGAAATGGGCATGCTTCCTACCCCACAGGACTGCGGGGAGGACTTAATGAGATCACAGAAAGCCCCTCCGAGGCCTGGCAGAGGTGCTTTCCAGCCAGCGGCTGTGGGACATGCAGGCTGTGGACATCCAGGGGAAAGGAGGGCTCCGGGAGATGAAGGGACGAACTCCAAGCCCCTCGACCCAAAAGGAATCAGACTAGACCCCAGACTCCCTCCCGCTGAGGTTCCTCTCCCTCGGCCAGCTGTCCTGGCAGTACACCCCCACACTGGCAGGAGCCCTGCCCTGTTACCCTGGACAGCCAGAAATCTAACCCAGCGGAAATGGAAATGAGGAAGCCCACACTCCCTGCTCAGCTGCCCTTCCATGGCCCACTCACAGCAGCTCTCCAAGGCCGTGACTCCCAGGGCCAGCTTCCTGCTCCCCCCGATAGCTGCTCTGGCCTGTGGGAGCCCAGCTCCAGCTGCTGTGCTCTGGGAGGCTGGGAGGGGGCCAGAGATGGGCAGGCACCCAGGGTGAACCCCGCCTGCCAGGAAGTCACAGGAAAGGACCTAAGATACATTCTAGACCACCCCGGGCCCATCTCTTTGTGTTGACAAGGAAAGGAGAGGAATGGCCTCACTCAGGACGCTGGGATCCCAAATGCCAGCCTCCCTTCCCCTTGCCACCAAGGCCGCCTTACCTGGCCTGGCAACTCACTCTGTAGGGAGCTCTGGGACACCACCCATGGGAGCTGACAGCCCCCAAGGCAGCCTGGGGACCGAGATGTGCTCACCTTCAGAAAGATCTTGGTTTTGCCAATCTGCCAGTCGTCATGGGTGCCCAGCACAGCCTCAGCTATGCGTTGGCATGTCCCTCGGAGGTTGCCCTGGTAGGCACAAGGGAATGGACAGCCTCACCAGCAGGAAGCCCTCCAAGTGTCCCTCTTGAGGCTAGGAGGCAGGGCCCTCCCAGCTCTGCCCCGACTGGTCGCATGACCCAGGCAGGGACCCACTTTCTCCAAACCTCCATTTACTCCATGTGAAAGTCAGATGATGACCACCATGGCCACTGGAGCCCTCTGACTGACCACTGTCCAGCCCCCACCTTCTCAGCACTCTCTGAGGTGGACGAGCAGATGTCACCTGCTCAGCTCATTGACCCACTGTGAATCCAGGGCTCTTGCCCGGCCAGCGCGGGAGGCCGACCCTCCCACCATCTGCACCTCAGACCTGGTACCTGCTTGTAGGCTGGCTTCACGCCAGGCAGCAGCACACGGTACCGCTCCACGAACTCCACAAAGCTGTAGCGGATGGGGTAGCCGGCGCGGCGGATTCGGATAGTCTCCATCATGCCCGAGTACCTCAGCTGGCGCACACACAGGTGCCGGTCGAACAGCTGTCAACAGAGCCAAGGGGTCAAGGTGAGCTCCTGCCAGGAGGCCAGCCCTGCCCTGTGCTTAAGCAAAGGCCTAGAGAGGCCAAGGTAACACGGCACGAGGAGCCATCCAGGGGGGGACCCAGGTGCACAGGTCACATCCACATGGCAGCTGGCAGCAAGGACTCCGTGGTGGGGAGCTGCACCATGTGGGAGCCCAGGGGAGACAGGTCCCTGGGAGGTCCAGAGGGGGCTTCAGGGATGAGGAGTGGTATTCTAAGGTCAGGCAGGGTGGGGGGTGAGCCAATGCACAGATAAGGACCTAGTGGGGGACTTTGAGGGCAAAGAGGCTAGTCCAGGACAGTCCAGCTGTGCTGGTAGAGGGTGCTCGGCACTGTCCCAGGGAGCCCTTCATGTGGCCATTGTAGATCTCTAGCGATTCAGACAACTTTCTGGCTGCTGACAACAGAGAAAAGGCACAGTCTTCTAACTCATGAAGCTGTTTCTGTGACGACTGCAGGGCAGGGCAGGGCCAGCCCCGGGGGCTCACTGAAGGGACAGGGAGAGATGTGCATGGCAGATGTGGGGGCTGTGGGGAGCCACCAAGGTGGGGCTGGGGAGCCAGGGAAGGTGTGGAGCAGGGACAGACTAGATGGGCATCTGAGAGTGCTGTCCCTGAAGTGCAGGGGTGGCAGGCAGGAGGCCGGAGACCAGTGAGGAGGTCCCTGCCAAGGTCCAGACCACAGACCAAGGTCCAGACCTAGGCCCTGCTGACAGAGGGTTCCAGGGGTATTTCAAGGCCAGGGGAGACGGTGCCCTACAGTTCCAGCTTCAGTCCTCCTGGCCCACCTGCCCTGGAGGGAGAGATAGCTGGAGCCCTGGGACTCTCAGGCCCCTACAAACAGAGTCCCCAAAGGGACAGGCGTCACCCACTCTGGGAAATGATTTCCTGGCGAGGACAGTGTGTGCGGATGGTAGACTTCCGCAGCCTGTTTCCTCTCCCTCTGGGCCACTTTCCCTGGCCTTCCTTCCCTCCCTCCCCGGACCCAGGGCCCCAGCTCTGGGTAAACAACACCTCCCAGAGCCTGCTGTGGAGGGACAGGGCGGGCACTGGCATCCTGCAGGGCATAAGCCCCTCAATGTCCCTGAACACCCACACATATTTCCAACCCAGGACAGGGGTCGGCTCCCTCCACAAAAAAGGCCCAATAAGTGTTAATCAGAAGAGTGAGGAATGAAGACAGTCCCAGTGAGAGGAGCCAGGGGAGGTTTCCAGGAGGAGGGGGGAGTTGCGCTGGGCTGAAGGGAGGGATCTTTCAAAGGAGCACTGCCCCCAGCTGCCATCTACTGAGCGCTGTGTGCCCCGCAACCTGCCCACGTGATTGCACAGACTATGCCCAGGAGGTGGGTGTGATCGCCCCATTTCCATCCACAAGGAGACTGAGGCATAAAGGGACTCAAGAGACAGTCTCCAGCTAGGAGGAGGTAAAGCTGGACTGAATCTCGCTCTCCCTGGTGCACCTGCCGTCTCCAGTCAATGGGAGTCTAGTTCTATAAGCCCTCAGGTGCCGGCCACTCCCCAGAGAGGACGAAGTCTTGCATCATCCCCCGACCCTCGTCCACCCTTGGTCCAGCCTCCAGGGTCCCCTCGCAGCCCTCCACTCACCATGGGCTTCTTGAACTCGTTGGGCTTGATGCAGCGCACGAAGAAGGGCTGGCAGGCCCCCAGCGTGCGCATCAGCAGCTCCAGCGACCGCTTGAACTGGCTGCTGAGTGTGGGCGAGCGCTTCCTGGTCTCGGCGCCCTGGGGGGGATGGACAGACGGCAATGGGAGGGGCTGTGCCTGCCCCCTCCCGGCCTCCAGCAGCCGCCCCAGGGAAGCAGGAGGGGAGGTCAGGGGGCCCGGGCAGACAGCGTTTTCGTTTGAATCTGTCTTCCTTTGGTCGGGCTGCAGTTGGCCCCCAGACCTCCCCTCCAGGGAGCCTCACGGGACCTCCACAGGTATCCCTCTAGGTCGCTCCCTTCCTGGTAGGCTGGGGGACTCTCGGCAAGATGTCAACCCTGTCTGAGTCTCATCCTCTCCTTCCCATGAAAGTGGCCACCTCAGGACCCTGGGGCCGTCTTAGAGACAGGGATCAGGCAAACCCATGTTGGAACCCTGGCCCACTGCTTCCAAGCTGTGTGGCTTGGGCAGATCATGAAAAGGTGCTAAACCTCAGTTTTCCAAGTGAAAATAATGTCATCTATCCACCTGATGGGGCAGTGAAGAGGGTCAGAGGTCAGGTGTATTTCAATAAGTGGCACCCAGGGATGGCCACTGCAGGTCCCCGGGGACTGTGGGGGAGGAGAGGAGGAGCTGCCCTGACCTCCTGGCTGCGGCTGCGGATTAGCCAGAGGCAGCAGGCTGGGGGTGGGGCAGCGGGCCTGGATAATCTTCCTTAGAAGGCACAGGAGCTGGCTCCCCCAGTGCCACCCTGTCTGCACATCCTGGCCCTGCTAGGGTCCCCTCCCAGGTTACTGTGAAATAGGGGGAGCGCTGGAGAAGGCCTGAGAGCAAATAAACAGGGAGCGAGCCTTCTCTGCTGACCGAAGCTGGAGGAGAAGCCAGGTTCTGATCCACGGCATTTCTGTTTTATTGTTCTGGTGATTTTCAGTTGGGTGAAAAGTTCTTATAGATACATTTGAGTATTATTGTAAGGTTTTTTTTATTTGTATAGTTATAATGTCATGTCCTGTGTCAAAAATCAGGGTGCAGGTGTAGATGTGTGAGGTATTTGGGAGGCAGAGGTGCCTGCCTAATCCATACTAAATTTAGACAATCTGCCACCAGGCTGTAACGAAACCCACCAAGAATCAGCAATTGCTTGCAATTCTGAAATCTCAGTGCTTTCCATCCTGGTTTTATTGGGCATGCAGTCTAGGAGTCTGCCCAGGGAAACTGGGAGTGGAATGATGGTCAGGTCTGGGGGGGCCTCTCCAGAGCCATACACCTTTAAGTCCTGATGCACCCCGGGGGATCTGAAAGATCACTGCAGTCTGGCACAGTAGTGCTGTGACTTGTGACCCGGTCTTTTCCCTCGCTGGGATAATAAGGTGTGGCCTGGGAGTGGCCCTAGGAGTAGGCCGCACCCAGAGGGGTTGAGCTCTGCTCCCCTGTTCCCTTGTAATCTTACTCCTTGCCTCATTTGAATGGCTTCTGCCCCATAAAAGAGTTCAGCACGTGTTCCTCTCTCTCTTTCCACAGACCCCTAAGGTCAGAGCTGCTTTGGGGTCACAGGACCCAAAGAGAAAGGCAGTTCTCTGTTTGTGGTGGTTATTTTGTGCAGCCCAGTTCACCTGGAGTGACCCTGAGTGCTTAGCCATGAGACGCAACACAGGTCTGTGGCTCCAGAGTTGCCAAGGGACCCAATCCAGCCACAGCACTGGGTGGCCTCCCTCTTAGACGGGGAGCTGTCCAGGTCAGCCTGAACCGAGCCTGCAGCAGAGGCCCTGCCTGCCTCGCACCCGCACAGAGAGCACCTGCAACCACTCCCAGATGTACCCGGGACACGCACACCAACGCTGCACACACCCTCCTTTGATTTTGACCATTACTGGAGCTGCTCCTCTCTGTCTGTCGACCCCGCCAGCTGTGAGCCCTGTGAGGGCAAGTAGGGCCCACCTTATTTACTGCTGGGCTTGGCACATGGAACAATCAGCACTTTCCTCAACTGAAGTGTTATCGAACTAGTTTCTGGTGTCATCCATGGGCTCACAGACACTGCCCACCATCCCTCAAGCCCAAACGCTAGGAACTGTCCTCAACACCTCTCCTCTCACATCCACTAGATCAGCAGATCTCACTAGCTCCATTTTCAAAGTATCTCCAGAGCCATGTGTGGTGGTGCATGACTGTAATCCCAGCGACTAGGGAGGCTGAGGCAGGAGGATTGCAAGTTCAAGGCCAGCCTCAGCAACTTAGCAAGACCCACAGCAACTTAGTGAAACCCTGCCTCAAAAAAGAAAAATAAAAAGGACTGGGGATGGGCTGGGGTTGTGGCTCGGAGGTGGATCGCTCACTTAGCCTGTGTGAGGCCCTGGGTTCAAACCTCAGCACCACATAAAGTAAAATAAAGACATTGTATCCACATATAACTAAAAAATAAATATTAAAAAAAAGGACTGGGGGTGTAGCTCAGCAGCAGAATGCTCAGTCTCCACTACCAAAAACCACACATATATTTCTCCAGAAGCTCACCCCTTCCCACCACCTTCTCCGCTATCAGCCTGGTCCAGGCCCCAGCCTCACTTTCTCCCATTATTGTGATAACTCCTAACCTCCTTGCCCTGTCACCCACACTCTACACCCCTCCTCTCCTTCCACACAGCAGCCAGGGAGCCTGTTAAAACAGTCCAATCACATGTCTCCCTGACCCAAAACCCTCCAGGGTCTCCCAATAGTGAACAGAGTGCTGTAGGGAGGACCAAGTCCTTGTAAGAACCCACATTGCCCAGTGGATCTGTTTCTCTAGACTACTCCACTTGTTCACCCTCTTGCAGTCACCGCAGCCTCTGGACCCTGCCAAGCAAGCCCCAGGCAGCACCTCAGGACCTTTGCACAGGCTGCCCCCTCTTCCCTGCAAAGCCCTCCCTCTAGATGCATGAGCTGGCCTCCTGGCCTCCCTACCGGACGGACTCACAGTGAGCCCCTCCTGGACTTCTGTGCATAGCCACAGCATCCACCACCTCCTTCCTCCCTCCCTCCTGGGTCTTCCCCACACCACTTACACTAACTTGGCACACTGTCCTTATTCATTGTCTTATTAACGATTTCCTGCTTTTCCTAGAACACAAGTCCCAGGAGGACAGAGAATTATTGTTTTTTTTTTTTTTTTTCTGTTTTGTTCACTACTGTGTGTCCAGGACCTGAGACAGTGTCCGGCCCATGGGGGCACTTGGTAAATATTCATGGACTGAACGGGAGCCTGAGGCTCTGGGGCCTGCTCTCCCATCTTAGGCGTCTGGGTTTCTGATAGGGTTCGATTTGGTTGAGGGAAATCCTGGGAGTTGTTTTCTGGGATAATCTGCAGATGGTGAGGAAGACTGAAAAGTCAGGAGGTCCATGTTAAATGGCTCCACAGAAGCAAGCCAAGGGGGGCAGGCGAGCCTCAGGCCCCCTGCAGGCTGCCTGGATGTTAATCAGGATGCACTTTGCCCCAGAGCAGTGCCCTCAGGGCATGACTGTCCCTACATCAGCCAGGGCTGGGTGGGGCAGCAGAGGATGACAACCTGGGGAGTGGGCCTGCAGATCACTGAAGGGGGTGCTGTGGGCTCCCTCCTGAGGAGAGCCTTGTAGCTGCCACACTGCCACTTGGCCGGCTGTGACCTAATGTTTCACAATCCACCAAGCCCTTCCTTCCCCTTTAAGAGAGAGATCGTGGTTCCAGCCCTTAGGAAGCGGTTTCTGTCCCAGTGGTGACACACAGCACGGATGAACAGCAGGGACTCGGAAAACCACACTTCAGCCCTCACTTGTGTGTGGCCTTGGATACATCCCTGCACTGCACGGAGACAGAGCTGAGTTCTAATCGCTGCGTGTCACGAGCTGTGTGACCTGGAGCCAGTGCCCTGGCCTCCCCAGGCCCCGCTTCTTTACCTGTAAAATTGAGTGACAGCAGTGGCCGGGTTGCAAGAGGTGGTGACGTATGCTCCTGACAGGAGCTAGCTTAGCTCACAGCCTGGCCCAGAGGAGTGCCCAGGAGATGTGACGGAGGCCACGGTGTCACTGCTGTTCCGTGACCTCAGCTCCTGAAGGCCCCTCTGGAATGGAGGGAGTCAGGGGAGCCCAGGCTCCCGCGTTTGGACCTCCACGAGTGTCCTCAGCAAACTGCTGCTCACCTCAGGGAGGGAGCCTCCGAACAGTAAGGACACATAGAGGCTCCAGGCACCTCCAGGAGGTTGGAAAGAGAGGACAGAGAGCAGAGGGTGGGAGGAGAAGACAGGGTTCAACAGGTGTGCAGAGACCAGGGGACAGAGCGAAGCATCTGGGGACAGGAAAGAGAAGAGCTCGCAGGACCCCGAGCCACACCTGCCTCACCCACAACACCTGAGCTGTAGGTCAGAGGGGTGCCGGCCTGGGTGCTGGAGCCTCAGGCGCCGGAACCCGCTCCCTGAGGTCACTCCTGCGTGCACCTCATTTGCCTGGCTCTGCGTGTGTGTATGTGTGTGTGTGTGTGTGTGTGTGATTGGGGGAACAGAGGAGAGGGGCCACCATTCAGACAAGTTCCCTGACCTGCTGTTGGAGGGCTTCTAGATTGTTCCTGCGCTCTGTGAGGCTCTGGCCCCTGGGGAAGGAGGGGCCCGGCATTAGGCCACATGTGCGGGATGTCAGCGTTGGGCAGAGAGGAAACTGAATTGAGAAAAGGAAGGCAAAGGGGAGGCAGTGCCACACTGTGCTAAGGGACACCTGGCACCTTTGGGATCTGAAGCACCCCAGGAGCCACACCCTGAAGGTGGCAGAAAGGACACCCAGGCAATGGTGGCCCCTGATGTCACATCCCTCCCTCTCTGACCTCAGCCTCTCATCTGCAAAATGCAGAGAAGACCACCTGCGTCCCCTGCGTCTGAGATCGTCAGAGGCCCTGAAGAGCCACCAGGTCCCGGTGGAGGAGCAGCTGAGGGGCAGGGGCAGGAGGTGGGGGCTGGAGTCCTGGCTCTGCCTTAGCTCCTGGTGCCCCCTGCGCAAGGCCTGCCCCTCTTCCCAGACTCGGTTTCCTCCTTTACGAAACCGAGACAGCTACAGCACACACAACTCAAAACCCAAACCAAACCACTCCAAAACCACTCCACAGAAAACACACTCCACAAAAGGCAGAAAAGCCCCACTCTTTCCCCACGCCTCTGCCCCACGGGGCCGAGGCCTCTCCTGCCATCCTGCCCCCGGCTGAGGCTTTACCTTGGTGGAAGCCGCTGCCTGGCGGAGAGAGCCGGAGGAGTACCCACAGAGAAACTACAAGGGGAACCACAGGGCAGGTGAGTGGACGCAGGGCCCAGGCCAGGTCAGCAGATAGAGGACCCAACGCACTGTGGACAGAGGGAGGCCCTCTGGCACAGGCCTGGGGTCCTGGCCTCTCTGTACGGCTGGTGTCCCAAAGCAGCTTGGTCACCTGCACAGGTGCTGAGGGGGTGGGGACTCTACCCTCCCCATGAGCCCTTCCATGCATCCTCCAGGAAAGGAGAGAAATGTGGAATAACAGGGCAAACAGGAGACCGGCCCACTAGACAGCCTGGGGGGGGGCAGTCTTTCTATCTCCTGTGCAGGGTCTGAGTGTCACTGCATGCCACACCCATCCCATCTCCTGAGGCAGGACCCGCCCCCCTCATTCCCTTACCTGCTGGAGGTTGGAGGGGGGCGCCCCCTTGGGAAATCCAGTCCTGGCCGGGTTCTGCTCCGTGACCTCTCATGTGGCCCTTCTCTGGGCCTTGTACCCCAGCCACACCCCCAATCACCACAAAAGGGCCAGACGGGAGCATCTTGAAGACCTCTCCAGGTCCCTTCTGGAACCTCAGCAAAGCCCTGTCCTTGCTCTGTGGCCCTAGGAGCTCCTCTGATGGACAAGGGTTGGGCCTAGACCCAGGCCTGGCTTCCGGGGCCCGCACTGCCCAGTGGAAAACCCGCTGGCCTTACCATGGCCACGTCAGCCTGGAAGATCTGCTTGATGAACTTGTTCCGTGAGGAGTGGACTAGCTGGATGATGTCCCCGTGCAAGGTGTCCCGGTTCTTTTCCAGGAAGCCTGGCAGTGGGAAAGAGCAGTCAGACCTCACCAGCTGTGGCAGCCCCTGAAAACCAGACTCATGCTTCCCCCAGACCAGCAGTGACCGAGCCACGAGGACCCTCAAGACACACCTAGTTTACCCAGGTCCATTTCACAGCGGGGGACACTGAGACCTATAGTTGACAGCATCTTGCCTAAGATCAGAGAAAGTGAGGGACTGTCCCCCCACCCACACTGGCCCCTTCTCGGCCTGTCCAAGAAGGACAGGGGGTCTTGGTCTCTGGGAGAGGACTGCGTCACCTGCCTGACTGAACCATCCTAGGCCACCCAGTACAAGCCCTGGAGAGAATACACACCCACCCAGTACAAGCTAACAGTATAGGAACCAATGAAAACGACCTCGTGGTTGAACAGTACATATGTTTTACAAAGTGTCCTCACAGCCCGCTATGTAGAGGGGATGGCCAGGACTTATCTTCCCCGTCCAATGATAGGGGAAACTGATGCTCAGAGAGGCTAAGAGAGTAATCTAACACCACACAGCCAGCCATGGCAGAGTTAACACTCAAACCCAGGACTCCTGGTGCCCACCCGGGCAGGGCCCTGCACCACAAAGACCCCAGAGGTGAGAGCCATTCCAGTACTGGGGAGTTAGGAACTGGTTCATGGGGATCTCTGCTAGGGATGGGAGGCCCACAGGCTGGGGATGCCTGGCAGGGGAGGACAATGCCACCAAGAAGCAGGAGGTATGCCCAGATGGCAGATGGCAYAGAGGCCCAGTGTTGGGCTGCCCAGTGTTGGTGTCTGGGGATGGGCGAGTCACAGGAGGCACACAGTAATGGAAGGGGGCACTTGTGTTGGGATGGAGTGATAAGGCTCTAGGACAGCTTCACTATGTGACTTTAGGGGTGTCTGCTTTCTGGGGCCCCAATGTCCTCAACTGTTAGATGACAGTGGTAAAACCTGTCACTGTGGTGCGGCCCACGGAGGCACTAAGACTTCTGGATCAATTCAGTGAGGCAGTGTGACCCCAAGAAGCCTCCGAGCTTGTTTTGAATGCCCTTGACCTTTGACCATGGTTGGGATCTTTGGGGCTGATTGGCAGGAACTCAGTGTAGAGACACCTACAACAGACACCAGTGAGGGCAGCATTTTACACCAGGATGGAAGAGGCGGGACACTGGCAGGCCGCAGGCTTTTGACCAGTTCCTGTGATGAGCCTGTGTTCTCGTGCCTCTTCCCACCTTCAAGCTTTGAAATGAACCCAGCCACGCATCCTCAGGAGGAAAGACCATGTGTGTGCATCCTTTTCAATTCTCACACTGGGTCTTGTCGCTGGAGAGTCTAGTGGGTAAGGGGCTGTTTCTAGGCCTGATTTTGGGACTAAGAGGCTGTGCCATGACATGTCAAGACAGTCAACCCGCCTTCTGAGCCTGTCTCCTCATATACACAAAAGAACATAGAGCCCTTCCCAAAGAATTGAAAGCAGGGACTCAGATACTCGTACACCAATGTTCACAGCAGCATTATGCACACACATATTCATTAACAGAGGAACACATCAGCAAAATGTGGTGGAGCCATTCCCTGGAATATTATCCACCATAAAAATGAAGAAAATCTATGCGGGCTGCAACATGGATGAACCCACTGTGCTAAGTGAAATGAGCCAGATGCAAAAAGAAAAATATTGCTGGGTGCATTGGTACATGCCTGTAATCCCAGCAACTTGGGAGGCTGAGGCAGGAGGATCGCAAGTTTGACAGCAACTTAGTAAGACCCGTCTCAAAATAGAAAAATAAAATAAATAAGGATGGTTGGGGATGTAGCTCAGTGACAGAGCACCCTTGGGCTCAATCTTCAGTACCAAAAAAAAAAAAAAAAAGGATAAATATTGTGGGAGTCCACTTAGGTGCTCAGAATGGTCAAATTCATGGACACAGAAAGTAGAGGGAGATGATGAGGGGTGGGGTGGGGGAAGGACGGAGCTGTTGATAATAGGGGCAAAGCTCTGTGTAGGTGACAGAAAGGTCCAGAAAGTAGATGGTGGTAAGGATGGCCCAATATTGTAAATGTGCCTAATCCCACTGAATTGGTAAATTTCATATTACATATATATATATATACTTTACCACAATTTTAAAATATATTAAAAAAGAAAACTCTGGAAAAACAAAGAGCACTGAGCCCCACTTTTTCTAAGGTCCCCTCCCTCCCTCTCTGTATCCCAGGACCCTGAGGCCTCTCTCCTGGGTAGGATTTGGGGACACAGGCAGACGCAGACACCCTGGAGCCTGCCCGCACCTTGGGTTTCGTAGTAGACTATGCCTGCAAAGTGATTGATGCCAAACTGGGTCTCGTGGTTGTTCTTGGGGGGCACGTAGTTGGTGTTGAGCTTGTGCTGTGAGTTCAGCTTGTACAGCATGGTGGTGTCCGTGCCCTGCAGGGACAGAAGGACCGCTGAGAGCCACCCTCCCTCCCCAGGCCCTGCTCCCTCTAAGCCCGTGGATGCACGCCCTTCTTGTGTCTTTATACCCCACTCGGGAGCTTGGGGACCTCTGCCTCCTGTCTGTGAAATGGGTGCTTTGGAACCCTACAATCTTAAAAGAACATTCCAGAACATCTCTTCCTGGGATTAAAATCCTGAGAGCTACCTCCCTTCTCCTCCCTGACTCCAAGACATAGTCTGTGTCTTGAACATCTATCCTGCACCAACTGTGTGCTTGGATTTTTGTTGTCTGGCCGGGGACCCAGGGGACAGTGGGTGATTCCCACACGTCAGGCGACTCTACTGGAGTTGACCCGAGCCACCCTGAGAGGCAGGTGTCATGAGTCCCATGTTACAGATGAGGAAAGCTGAGGCTCAGAGTGGGGAAGGGACCTGCCCGCTCTCCGGGACCCCGTGGGCTGTGGCCCACCTTGGGGAACTTGCTCTCTTCATCAATGAGGGAGATGATGTTCATGGGCTTGTTGGCGATCATGTCCAGGGCGTCCTGGTTGTCGGTGAACTCGATGTGCAGCCAGTCGATGCTCTCCAGGTCGTACTCCTCCTGCTCCAGCTTGAACACGTGCCGCACGAAGAACTGCTGCAAGTGCTCGTTGGCAAAGTTGATGCACAGCTGCTCGAAGCTGCGGGGACACGGAAGAGGACACTGTGAGGGGGTGGAGGGGGTGTCATTCAGGCCCCGGCCCTGCCACCCAGTGGCTGCTCTGCCTCGATCTGCAGCAAGGTGCTCCTGTCAGGGCCTCTGGGGCCTCCAAGGCGAGGCTGGATTGTCAAGGCCACCCCTCCACCTGCAGTGGAGGATGCTGAGGCCCAGCAAGGGCAAAGGGCTTGCCTAAGGTCAAATGACAGGTAAGACTTCAGATCAGGTCCATGGAGAGGCCTGTCAGAGCACCCAAGAGCGGGGAGCCAAGGTGCTGGGGAGGTGGACCATAAAGTGTCATCGAGAGGTGCGAGGGGGCTGAAAGGCTGGCAAGCAGAGCCTCGAGTGCTGACACAGCCAGGGCCACACAGCTAGGCAGTGGGCCAGAGCTGGCTGTCCCCAGTCCCACTTGTGCCACCTTGTGCCCCTTTCATGGCTCTCAAGAGGTACAGGTCCCCAAGGGTGGCTGGGACCCTGGCACTCAAGCTTGGTTCAGCTTCACCTGTTTCAAGGCACCCTGCAGCTTGGACACTGGGTGGTCAGCAGTGGCTATGGGGCCTGGGGACCAGAGGCTACCTCCTGCGTCCAGGACCATGTGAGGGCTTTCCCCCACCACCTGGGCTGGCCTCAGCTGACCCTGGGGAGGAAAGGGAGGGAAGAAAGACCTCCACATGACCAAAGTCAAAATTTCCAAGAGCCTGGATCCTCATCCATGTGGTTTGACGGGAGCAACAGGATAGTTCTCATATCCATGTTCCCAAAGAAACCCCTCCTCCCTCAGCAGAGTCCCACAAGATACCTGTTCACAGTAAAGTTCTCGAACCCAAAGATGTCGAGGAGGCCGATGGACCGGCGGGAGTTCTTCACTTCCTGGGAGGGAGGCTTGTAGATCGCCACGTTGATCTTGTCCACGATCCACACAAAGAGCCGTCCATAGATGCCCTGAAAGGTGGCCACACCAGTCGCACCTCCCCTCTGGGGACAGCAGGCTTCTGGACCTATGTGGCCTTGCCCCACCCTGGCTGTGGAATGACCTGCTGTTTGAAAGCCCCAGGCCCCTCCTCACACTGTTCCCCCACTCCCTCCTGCTGGGACAATTCCCCCCCCCCCAAGAGAGCCTTCCCCAGCCCAGCAGGCTGGAAAGAACTCCTCCAGGCGCCCACCTCTCCGTCCATCTGTCTCCCCAGAGCCTGGGGGACTTGGTGAGGGGCAAGAATGTGAATAGAAATAGGGAGGACTCGGGGCAGGTCAGGTGGGCCCATGTATTCTGCAAAGACCAAAGAAAGCGTCCCCTGGATGGGAAAGCTGACCAAAGCAGGCTCAGGGTCTAGGGCCTGAGGGGGGAGCTGAAAGGCCCCAGGAGCACAGTAGCCACCTCTGATGGGATATATGGACATGTGGGACTCAGAGGGAGGCGGGTGGTGCCAGCCTGGTCTCCAGCCCAGGGCAGGTGGGGAGCGAGGCCAGCTATGAGGACTCCCCCGTCCTGCCCACCAATAACCCAGCCTCCACAAAGGGCCCACCTTGACAAAGGCGTCTCGCACATCCAGCGCCTGCTCCATGCTGAGCGGGGTGGACACGGTCTCCCCACGGGTGATGAGGGTGCGGCTTGTCAGGCAGCTCATTAAGTCTGGAGGGTTCACCTGGTGCAGACACGCAGGTGCTCACCTGCCACCCGTCTCTCCCCCACCCACAGCTGGACTGCCCTCCCCCTTCCCACCAGCCTGTCCCAAAATGTTCCCTCCACTAGGAATGCCCTTCCCCATGGCCTCAGCCAAATGCTTCCACCATCAAAACTACCCAGATGCTGCCTGGAAGGACTTTCTCTCCCTGATGGTCCCTCTCAACCCATCAGCATGTTACCTGTCCCTTTTAGGACCAGCCCCCCAGCTCTGGCTTTATTTATCCCAGTTTCCCAGCCCAGGTGATAAGTGCCTGCTGAGCATGACAGATGGCACTGATGCACTAGGGCCCTTGACCCAGAAATGCAGACTGAGAGCCCAGGATGCAAGAAGGACACACAGGCTCACACGGCCCAGAGCATCACAGGGCCCCCAGCCCAGGCCTCCTGGCCCCCACAGCGTCCTAGGCTGGATCTGCTCCCTGGGACCCAATCCCTGAACACATCTGGTTCTCAGTGTTGAGCCTAAACAACCCTCCCAACCAGGGGCTCCGACAACCTGGTTCCCACATCCCAGCCGCCAAGCTCCAAGTCAACACTGTCTTCAGAGGGACAGGAGCAGGAGTGGCTACGAGGCCAGGCACTGACCTCCAGCAGTGAAGCAGCTGTGGTCAGCGACGGGGAGAAGAGGACCTCACAGGCGTCCAGGTTTTCAAATGTGCGGGCTACGGGCAGCAAAGGAAGCAGTGTCGGGCAGGAAGGACTGGCAGAGGGAACAAGAGGACAGTCCTAGGAGGACCAAGCTGCCACAACTACCCTCAGGCACCTGCCCTGTCCCCAGAGGGCAGCAGTACCATGACTAAGTGCTTCTCTGGGTCAATGTTTGTTTGATGAGTGTTCTTACCAAGAGCCTGTGGGCACCATAAGGGTAGGCACCCTGCATGCTAGCACCTGGCACCTGCCTGGCATCTACGCAGCAGAGAGCAGCTGCACCTCTCCACCTCCACCCCACGCTTCCAGAGCATCAGCCTCAAGACCTTTGGCCACAAGACCTTTGCACATGCTCTTCCCTCTGCCTGATGCACCCTTTCTCTTCATCTTTCAAGATTCACAAATGCTGACGGCCTTCATGCTGAGAACATTCATTCATGGAATGAATTTCCTAGAGCTTCTACTGTGCCCAGGACCCATACTGGGCACCAGGGGAAGAGCAGAATGGGAGTCAGTGCCTGCCTCAGGGGACCATCTCCTCTCCAGGTGTAGTGATACCCAGGGAGGGTCAGATATGTGAGCTTGTTCCCTTCCCCGGTCTTCTTCCTTTCAGAAAATGGTTAGTTGGTCACTCATACTTCAGTAGGAACTAGTTCAAAGATTTATTCTCTAAGACATTTAACTGTAAAGAAGAAACCAAGTGGGGAAGGGGTCTTAAAAGGCCATGGTCGACTCCTAATATAACTTCACCTGTATCCCACCGTGGTGGGATTTCTCATAGTGCTGCCACACCTAAGGCTGGTGTCAGGGCCGCAGAGCTCTCCAAATCTCCCAAACCTCCGTCCCAAAGAGCGTACTCACTGGCACAGAAACCATACCACCAATAGCCCACGGGCAGCCAGGTGCCATGCCGTGGCACAGGGCTGGGCACCACGCAGCCTCACCCTCGTATTGCAGGTTGCCCAGGTGCAGGATGGCAGCCAGGAGCTTGGAGATCTCCCAGTTCTCCGTGTCGGTGAACATGAGCACCTTCATGGCGGAACGGATGTTGGCGTACTCCTGGCTGTCCACCCGGCCCTCACAGGTTATGCAGTTACCCTGGGGGGCAAAGGGGAGAGTGGAGAGCAGGAGGGCATCAGGGGGACCACGGGGACCCAGGAGGCAGCACCTGAGCAGAAGGGTCGCTTCTGCCAGACCAGCCCAGGGCTCGTGCCCCGACTCCTCCAAGTGAGCACCAAGTCTAGAAAGTCTAGAAATTTCCTGCCTGGGCTTGACGAGAACACACTTCCCACAAGTGAGAGGAGCCAGGTCACAGATTCCAGGCCTGCCCCTGTCACCTGCCCAGCACTCACAGCACCAGGCCCTACCATGCTTCCTGTCAGTGGCTTGATGTCTTCCCCGGTGGGAGAGGGAAGGGATCTGCAGGTGGACTTTGCCCCTTGCTGTGTGTGTCCAAGTGTGTCTAGAAGGCCTGTCACTCCACAGCACACACATACCTCAGGTGCTGGAGCCACACTCATATCCCTGTGGCCTGGCCAGGCTCTCCCCAGGGATGTGCACATGGCCCCCAGGTCCCCCACCCCATGCTGGGTGGCAGTGATGGCCCCAAGGCCCACTTCTCCTTGGTGTCCAGACAGCAGCAAGAAGCTGGCACCGGACCCTGTCACCAGCAAGCTCTCAAGGCTGAGGCCTCTGCAGCCAGCTCCTTGCAATCCTGGGGTACCTGGCAGAGGGCCCTGTCCTCACGTCCTCAAAGACAACACATAGCTCATGTGCATGGCCAGGTCCGTATGCAGACCTCTTCAACTGCGTGGACACGTGGGTGCATATGTCCATGTGTCCCTGCATTGGGGTCTGTGTGTAAGAGCCTGCCTGTGGTAAGGATTCATTGAGATGTAAGAGCAAGCTGGCATGTGTTCAGAGGGGGACAGGCTATGGCATAGACAAGCCCAGATAGGCTGGGGCAGGTCAGGGGACAGGAGAAGGTCCACATGGAAGTTCCTACCACCAGGCCTGGGGCTGGAGGCTGTGTGGGTGTGGTCTGGATCTGCCCCCACCTCACTCTGACAGGTGTCCCCTCCTGGGACAAGTGTCCCCTCCCCAGGGTGCCTGCCTGGGACTCACCATGGCCAGGTAGTTGTAGTCAGTGGCCTGGCCCAGGCCCAGCTTCTTCTTCTGCTCCTGGCTCATGCCGGCCAGCATGCAGTAGAACACGTGGTAGTTCCTCTCATCCGGGGCCTGCAGCGTGGGCAGAGGTGAGGGGGCCGGAGGAGGCCATCAGGAAACAGAAGGTCCAAGAGGGGAAAGAGGGTAAGCATGATTCACTATTTTAGCAAGTGGCTGTACCGGGGAGCTGGGGCTTCCACAGTGCAGCAGTACAGGGAGGTGAGCACCTGCCAGAGATGGGCAGATGGTGTGTGTCCACCCACAGAGGCTGGGGTTCTGTGCCAAGGAAGGACCTAGTCTGATCCTGCACCCCAGGGCCCACCTGGCGACAGACACGCGACTTCTCCAGCAGGTACTGCTCAATCTTGGCGCCCTCGATGGCGCCACGAGTGTTGAAGTGGATGTCGATATACTTCCCGAAGCGGCTCGAGTTGTCGTTGCGGATGGTCTTGGCGTTCCCAAATGCTGTGGGTGGGTAGAGGTCATGGGCAAGGCCGACCCATCCCCACCCCATCCTCCGAGCCCTGGTCTTACCTTCCAAGATGGGGGTGGCCTCCAGGACCTGCTGCTCGATCCAGGAGTGCTGCCCACTGATAGCTGCCAGGAACTGCAGGATCAGCTTTGTGCTCTCCGTCTTCCCTGCGCCAGACTCCCCACTGCAGAGGAGGGGGAGGCGGGCCAGGCCTCAGCCCAGGCTGAGACAGGCAGCAACCCTATCTGTGCTATGACTGACAGCTGGACTCTCCAGGGCTGGGGAGGGCTAAAGGAGACCAGGGCTCTGCCATGCCCACCAGCAACCCTCCATCCCTGCATTCAGACACATCCTCCCAACTCCACCTGCGCTTGCCACAAGCTCAGCACACATTAGCGGCTCAGTCAAAGCCTTGGCCTTTTATTCTCTGCCCAAGAGAAAAAGGGAATCTGAGATTTCAACTAAGCATACAGGAGCCGTCAGTAGGGGGCAGGGCTGGCTTTAAAAGCTAGCGTGGGCTTGGGTAGCATTAATGGAGATGTAAGACCTGGGAAAAGGGAGGAGATTCTCTGTGCTATATGCAATGGTTCCTGAGGCATTCTGTGGCATTTCCTACGACTGCGGAGAGGAGGCTGCCCACCTGATGATGCAGCACTGGTCACGGCTGTTGCGCTTCATGCTGAAGTAGCAATTGTCAGCGATGGCAAAGATGTGGGGGGGCATCTCCCCAATCTTCTTGTTGGTGTACTGGCGGATGTGCTCTGGAGAGTAGATGGAGAGCAGCTGGTAGGGGTTCACAGCCACCAGGATGGAGCCTGTGTACGTCTGCGGGCAACAAGTCAGGGTGAGCTCTCAAAGTCGGACTCTAGACTGACTTCAGAAAGCTCCAGCTCTGCCTGCTCCGTCCAGAAGGAAGAGCACTGGCTCTGGAGCTCCACAGACCTGGGTAGGGTCCTGCCTTCTTAGGAGCTGGGGCAGGGCCTTCAAGCTAGCTGTGGGCCTGAAGACTGTCCAGTCTAGCCTTCTAGACTAGCAAAATGACATGTGACAACTTTATGAAGATTAAGGGAGTTTTTTTGTGTGTGATCCTAGAGACTGAACCAGGGGCTTCATACATGCAAAGGAAGTACTCCACCACTGAGCTGCATCACCATGATTTTTGAGACAAGGTCTTGCTAAGTAGCCCAGGCTGGCCTTGAAATTAAGATCCTCCTGTTTCAGCCTCCCAAGCAGCTAGGATTATTATGCCGTGCCTGGAGAGATGATATATTTTAATATTTACAGCACACAGTAGGTACACCTTAAATATTGGCTCCCAACTTTACCTCCAAGCCCTGAAACCATACTTTTGGAGTGAAATTAATAAATTGGGGGCTGGGGATGTGGCTCAAGCGGTAACACGCTCACCTGGCATGTGTGGGGCACTGGGTTCGATCCTCAGCACCATATAAAAATAAAATAAAGATGTTGTGTCCACCGAAAACTAAAAAATAAATATTAAAAAATTCTCTCTCTCTCTCTCTCTTAAAAAAAAAAGAAAAAGAAAAGAAATTAATAAATTGGACCTTGTCCAGAGGGGAGACAGGGTGGATGTGGAAAAGGGAAATAAGTCAAAAAGAGCTGAAGGATCTGGGCACTATAATGTCAGTTAYTTGGGAGGCTGAGATAGGAGGACTGCAAGTTCAAGGCCATGTAGGCAACTGAGTGAGACCCCGTCTCAACATAAAATTCTAAAAAAGGACTGAGGATGTAGCTCCATGGTAAAGCACAAGACCTGGGTTCAATCCCCAGAACTGAAAAGAAAAATAAATACATAGAAGGGCGGAAGGGGCTGAGATGTGTGGCTGGGGGCCTGTTCTCTGCAGCACTGCTCCAGGGCCGAGGGAGCCTCTGTGCTCGGGGGACAGAGCACCTCCATCTGTTAGGTGGCATAGGCACAGGGCCAGCCTTCTGGCAGTTCTCTCTACGAGGACACTCTGTGGGTGCGTGGATTGCCCACCCATAGGCAAGATTCCCCATTATGAGCATGGGCCCTGCCACAGGAGGGACAGCAGGGCCTGGCCCCTGCTATCAGAGCAGGGAGAGGCGTTCAGGGGCTGACCCTCCCTATTCCCACCCAAATCTAAAGCTTGAAAAGGTCAGGCCCAGCCTGTGATTGGTGATGGATGTATTGACATTCAAGACCTGGAGAAGCTGAAGAAAAGCGTGTCCCTATAGGAGAGGAGACAGCCTAGCCTGTCCCCACCCCCTCACAGGGCTTAGTGACACCAGAGCTGCCACCATGCTCCAGCAGCCTCAATGAGGCCATACGAGGAAAGCCAGGCTCCCAGCTTCTCAGGCCAGGGTAAAGCCCACCCTGGGCCAGGGGAGGCTGTGCCAGGCAATCCTGACCCATTTCCAGGCCTGGCTCTGACCCCCAGACCAGGAGCTCTGGCCAGACACACCCTTCTCCCGGCCCAGGGCTCCCCTTTCCCACCAAGCCTCATCCAAGCAGCCCCAGCCAGAAGCAGGGACACGCAGTGCTGACTCCCCGTAGCAGAGCCAGGCAGGAGGAGAGGGGGCGGGGAGCAGGAGGCAGAGGGGGGCCAGGGAGCAGCCAGGCCAAGTGAACAAGCCCAAAGAGCCTCAGGGGTCTCTGCGTCACACTCACCCGCCCTCCACAGTTGGTCTGAGGTTGCAAAGCACCCGGAGCAGGAGAAAATGGGACCGGTCAGTGGGAAACAGGAGAGCAGGGCATTCTCCATGGACAATGCTCCCGTGGCCAGGCCGGGCTGACGGACCAGGTGGGGACCTCGGCCACCTCCCTCTACAATCCAGTCCTGCCCAGCTATGGGAGGCAGCTAGAGGGACCTCCAGGTGGGGAACCTGCCTAGGAAGAACCGGCCACAGAGGACATGCCCAGGGCAACCCCTGCTCTGCTCATCTGTAAACCAGCACCCCCTCTCAGTCTGCCGTAAAGACTAAAGGACAAGGATTCAGCCTTGCCAGGAGCCTGGGACACGAGCACCAGCTTGCTATTACTTCCTGCTCATACGGGCTGCTCCTCCATTCAGCCGTCACCACGGGCAGGAGGCTGACTCCCGCTGTCTCCCCACAGCCCTGGGGAGGCTGAGCCATGGGAGCTCACCTGCAGCTCCTGGGTTCCTCAAGGTGGGGGTTGGGGGGCCCTGAAAGCCACAGGACTCGCCAGTGGGTATCAAGCACAGAGGCAAGAGGCATGGAAGGGCATGACATTTGGGAGGTCTGTTGGAAAAGGTCACCCTGGCAGCCGTGAGGGACAAACAGCGGTCACCAAGAATGGAGGCAGATACCCTTTCAGACCTAATGAGCCAGACAGTGACCCTGAGAGGCTCGGTAGCCAAGTTTAGGACAGGGACGGTGATGAGAAAGGGACAGGGAGGCACTGAGACACCATGAAGAAACTTCCTGGGCCAGGGCTTGACCCTCTTCTCCTGCTCATGGCTCCTGTGGTCCTCTTCTGGACCTAGGGCCCTTTGTTCCCCCGCCTCCTGAGGTCCCCATTGGATGTTCAGCAGCATGTCAGCACCCGAACTCCCCCTTCCCTCCACTGGCTCCCCCTCAACCCCCCAATGCGCCCACAGAGCCTCCTCCCCCTCCGTCCAGGGCAGGGACCTAGGAGGCCCCAGAACCTTCTGCCCCCTCCCCCTCCTTCCTGGCGAAGGCCACCCTCATTCCCAGCAGTCCACAGTGGGGGTCCTCCGGCTCCCACACTTGTCCCTGCCGTCCCTCTCTGTCCCACTCAGAGCCTGGGTGGGGTGGGCTTTGAAAAGATCTGACCATGTTTTCCATCCAGCGGTTTCCCACAGCCTCGGGGCAAAGTCCACTTCCCTTCCCTGCCCACAGGGCCCCAAGCCCTGGCCCCTGCTCCCACCGCTGCTGCTGCTGGGAGGCCTCCCTGTTAAACCCTGGGGCCAGGAACGCACTTCCCACGCCCTTCACCCCGCTAATTCCTTCTTATCCCTCCGTCCAAGCTGACATGACACCTCCTCCAGGAAACAGCAGTCCTGTGACCCGTCTTGCCCCACACAGTCCCTTCAGTTCACGTCCCTGACACCTCCATTGTTCTGGTTCAAGGCCTCTGTCCCCAGTGCCTGGCACCACGCAGGTCACACAGGACATGCTCAGCAGTGTTTGCTGAGTGGCTGAAAGCGTGACTATTTTAATGTGCCGAGTGGACAGCATTAACTGCTGTCCCCAGAAACTAGCAGGGAGGGGCTTCAGCACCCTGAGGCAGCCCTCGCCACACTTCAGGGAGGGGCCCCAAGGTGGCTAACAGCAAGGCGGCCAAGAGTGTAAAGGGGCATTCTCTTTCTGTGTAGAAGGAAATGAAAACTTACACACACACTCACACACACACACACTCACACACACACACCACACGCACACTCACACACACTCACTCACACCACAGTCACACTCACACACACACTCACACCACACGCACACTCACACACTCTCACACACACACTCACGCACACTCATGCACACTCACACCACATGCACACTCACGCACACTCACACCACACACACACACTCACACGCACACTCACACACACACTCACACACTCACATACCACACGCACACACACACTCTCACACACACAAACACACACTCACACCACACGCACACTCACACACACTCTCACACACTCACACACACTCACACACACACTCTCACACACACACTCACTCGTAGTCTTTCGGGGGATCAGTATGAAGTCAGTAGCAGTGGTTCTCTATGGGTCAGAAGGAAAACTCTGTTTTGTAGCACGTGTAACCATTTAAAAATACACACTCACACCTCTTTCCTCAGTAAGGAGGACCCCCCCCTCGCAGGAGAGCAAGGACAACCAATCAGCAGTAAGACCCTCTTGGGACGCGGACTCCACAGGTCCTGCTCCATCACCCCTTGTTCCCAGGAGGCCACTGGAGGTGAATTCTTTATTTTCAGATGGAGAATGGAAGCTTCCAGAAGGAGAGAGACTGGCCAAGGTCACCCAGCAGCTCATAGGGGGTGGGTGAACGAGGGTCACTGGCGCTAACCCCTGCATTGCCTTCTCCACGTAGGCTCCCCCATCCCCCAGGAACACATCCGTGGGACCTACAGAGCTGGCAGCAGGTGGTGGGAAGAGAGCAGGAGGCCTGGCCGCAGCTGGCCCTGAGACCCTGGCCCCCTCTGAAGGTCCAGGGCAGCAGAGAGTTAAGGGCCAAGACCTTCTTGCTCCAGGAATAAAACCTGCTCCATGGAGCACTGGAGGAAATACTATTCCCAAGCCAAGGACTCAGTGCATGTGGTCCCTAAGAGCCCCAAGTCCTGGGCAGAGACCAGGCATCTCTATGTGGCAGAAATCAATTCCACCTCCTGCTCCCCTCTTCTGGAAAGTCCCCAGGACTGCCACCCTGGGCACCCCTCCATAGCAGGTGGCAGGTCCTGGAGACAAGGGTGTTCCCTGGGACTCAAACACCTACCCAGAATCACAGGGGCACTGTCCCCACATAAGAGCCCATGGTGCCCAGGAAGGCTAAGACTGGATGGCCAGGGACTCCCCTAGGGCTACTTGCCAAGGCTGGACCCAGCCTCCCACCTCCAAGTCAGGGCTGCAGCCTCTGCTCAGCATCAAGGACTCCTGGGCTTCCACCAACTCCGCCATCTATTCCCCATAGGACTGAGGGGTGACCCTTGGCTCTGGGACCATCAAGTCAGGGCTGCTAGGTGTCCTCCAAGGGCCCGCCCCTCTTCTGGGATGCTCAGGGTTGATCTGTGGCCGGGAAAGCCCAGGCAGATAGGAACAGCATCCACCCAGCTTCCTCTGTGAGCAGTGAGGTAACCTGAAGAAATCCCTAGTGCACGGGGCTACGACAGGGTAACTCAATCCATGAAGTGACGGGGTTGCCATGGGTAGGGACAGGTCCAGTTTCTGGGTAGGCAACAGCCCGGATGCTTCTTTACAGCCCTGCTCTTCTGTATCCACCAAGATACAAAACCACAGACTCAGCAAGGTGCGGCATCCTCCACGCACCTCCGGACCCAGAGTCTCAGGCCCTGGGATGAGCCAAGATGCACCTTTCTGAGAGCCATGGCTGGGTTCCCTGGCCAGAGCCCTATTCAAGCACGGGGCTTGCTCACCTCCTCTGAGCTCCCCCAACTCCACCCAGAGGGGAGCTCTGAAAGGTGCCTGCTAGGAACTGTTCTTTGGTGTAGTAATGGGGATTGCATCCAGGGGTACTCAACCACTGAGCTCAACCACTTGAGAATCTCTAAACCTCTGGAATTACTTTCTTTGATCCCTAGTCAGCTCATTCAAGGACAGGATATCCCTGATGTCCAGGCTGACCTCTGCGGCTGCAGCTAATTCTATTACCACCTTTCCCCAGTTTCACAAGCAAGAGTCACTGACTCTAGTCAGGCTGGTGCCTCCCCTGTACCCCGCCTTCCCTCAAGACTCTGTGTCTGCCTGTTCCTGGATGCGGCCTACTTACTCCTCTCCTGGAGAGGAGCTGATTCTCCTGTAAAATCCCTGAAACACACCCTAGAACCTCCTGCTCTAAGCCATGGGTCAGCCGGATCCCTGACAGGGACGACTCCCATCATCCCCTGTTGCTCCCGTGTGAAGGAGGCCCTGAGCTCCTCCTGGTAGGAGTGGGCATGGGGTCAGGCCTCAGCACACGGGCAGTTGTGGAGCATCCATCAGCTCTGACAGGCGCCTCCTCTGACAGGCAGGTGGACAGGCAGGCACCCCACTCATCTATCACCTGGCCCAGGCCTGACTGATGGCCACAGAGAGCTCCAGGAACCTCCGGTGGCCACTTGCCCTCCAGGGACAAGAGAAAGGGGCCCTTAATAATTTTTACCAACATAAAGTGTTCCTGTGATCAAAAAGCCTGAAAACCTGTAGACTCAGTGATCTCCAGGGCCTGGTCTTGCAGTTCTCTAGCCCACCCCGTTGATCAGGGCTGTCCCAGCTCAGTTATCCTTGGGGAAGGGAGGGAGGGCTGGTGTGAATATCCAGGTTTTGAGGCCCTCCTCCTCCCTCCAAAGGGTACAAACTCCTTAGTCAGCCTCCCCTGATCTTGAGGAGCCAGTGTTAGTCCCACAGCAAACATCCAAGAGAGCCCCAGCTCCCCAGATCCTGGACAACATGCTAAGCCTGTCACTGACCAGGCCTGGCCACCCAGTGGTGTCAAGGCACACAAAGGCACCTGCGCCTAGAGTGTAATCTGCCCTTCTTCCAGCCACAGAGCCCACCAGCAAGGCCTGGGAGGACGACGAGCCTCAGACCAAGTGGCTACAGGCAGAGTCCCTGTCCTGTCCTAGGAGCCTGGGTCCCTGGGCAAGTGTTGGGCTGGAGTGGGCCATGGCGTACTCACGTAGATGAGGTGGTCCCTGTAGCGGATGAGCAGGTTGCGCAGGATACCGGCCTCGTTGAGGTCCCCCAGACGGATCATGTCCTCCACACCGTGGACTGAGGTGGGATGCATGGGCTTGATGTGTGTGGCATTCTGCGGGGAGATCCAGTGTTCCTGCAGGAGGGACAGTCCTTGGGGTCAGCTTATTTGCCTGGGCCCAGGCTGCGTGCTGCTTAGGAAGAGGCCCTGGAGGAGCTGAAGCCTGGGGTCTGTGGGCCTGCTGTGGGAGTTGGGGGGCAAACACCGTCAGTTCTCACAGGTTTGAGTCTTAGCATGGCTACTGCCTGTCCCACTCCTTAAGGCAGCTCTTCTTCCTCTTAAGGGGTTATCTCTAGACCTAAGAGGTAAGCAGGACAGGGACTTTAGTCCCTCCAGACAGTTGTCATTAAAGGGACCAGATTCCCTCTGGTCGCTTTGCAGGACAGAGTGGAATGTGTAATAATTGGATTTATACAGACTTGGCTTCAAATCCAGACTCTGGTAAACAAATACATAAAAGTAATTTCAGATAGTGCCAACAATAAACTGAGGGGCACTTGTGATAGAGAACTGCAGAGGGAGCTACTTTAGATGGGGTGGTCAGGGGTCCCCTCAGGTGGCATTGAGCTAAGATCTGAGTGAAGACAAAGAGATCTCTGTAAAAAGATGGCAGGAGGGAATGTCAGGCCCGGGGAGCAGTAAAAACAGCGCCTCTGAGGCTTGTGTAGGTGCAGCAGGTTCAAGGGAAAACTAGGGGGCAGGGCAGTAGCAGTGGCAATGACAGAAGTGGACCCACTGGGATATATTTCACCAGTCTTGCTGATGACCTATGTGGAGCAAGGGGAGAACTTTCCATTCCCGAGAGCAGGAGTGGAAACATGCAGGGGGCCTTCCGGGCTCTCCCCTGCAATACCCCGCGATGCCAGGAGGTGGCAGACGAGTGCACCCAAGAGGCTCATCAGCTCTCTACAGTTTGCAAAAGGCTGGTTTCCCAGGGGGCTAGGAGCTGCCCTCCCTGGGGTCTCCAGCACATTGTCCTCACATTTACAGACCCTGCATGAAACAAGAGCCTGACCTATGCTCTATGTGTGGCCACGGCCTGAGGAGAGCCCTACAGACCTCCTATTCCATGGAACCACACAGGAACCTGACTACTGTGGGGAAAAGGAACCTCTCTGCCACCTCCCAACTGAGGTGATGCCTGTCATGTCTTACCCCACCTGCACCTCCTCTGGCTCTTCTCTGGCATAAGGAACCCCATTATCTAGACATTAGAAGAAATCTGGGCAACACATCCCCGCCCCCCAGTCACCCAGTCCTGCCCATTCAACCCTCTAAACCCTCAAGCCCCTGCCTGGGCCCACCTCTTGGGACAGAGTGGTGGCCTGCTTGAGGCACTCAGAGGGATCAGGGCAGGGCCAGGCAGAGCCCTCCCTGGCATTTCGTGGCCCTTCCAGGGAAGGAGCATTTAACCTGAGTCAGGCCCTCAAGCAGCCTCCCTGAGTCACCAGGGGGCCAAGTGGTGAGGTCAGAGAATCCATCAGAACTTTCCAGTCCCCTGTGGAACATTCTTCTCCAGGCACCCTATTTCTTGATAAAGGCTGATCCATTTGGAAAACTCCCTTTGCCTATCTTCTCTGCCTGACTTGGTCCCAGGCCTTGGAGTGGGCCAGAGGGAAAGGGCTCCTGGGCCAGCTCTCTGCCCCGCAGCATCTCCCCAGGACAGCTCAGCCAGAGGCCAAGAAAGAGCCCAGTCATGCGTGCCCTGGAGGTTCACGCACCTCACCCCCTGGAGCTTCTACCTCGAGTGGGAATGGGGATACGATGCCTTCTTCCTGGGGCTGTGGGGAGCACTGACCGACCTAATGGCCAGGCTTCTCCATGCAGAACTGGGCCTGGCAAGTGCTAGCCCTGGGGATTAGCCCTCGAATGCTTTTTGTTTTATAAAGACCCCGTGTGCTCCCTGTTCCTCACAACATCCTGTTGAGAATCACAGCCCCTGTTCTCCAGTGACAAGTCAGAGTCCAGAGCCTGCGGTGTGGGAGGACGCCCTGCAGAGGCCCACAGCCCTCAGCGCAAGGTCCACTGCCCCCACGGCTCTGGCCAAAGTACAACCAGGTTACCATCAAGGCTGGGCCCTAAGGGAATGTCAGAGAGACAGAGACAGGACAGAGAGACAGAGACAGTGAAACAGAGACCGAGAGGGCCAGAGAGTGAGACAGTGACAGGGAGACAGAGAGAGAGACTTCGGGAGACAGAGACACACAGAGAGAGGGAGAGAAAGAGAGAGAGCATGGGCAACTCCAAGGGTCAGGGTGTGATTGGCAAAGAGCTGGCCTGGAACTGAACTTGGAAGACAGGTCTTCTGCAGAGGAGAGGAAGGAGCATGCACAAGCTGCAGGAGTGGCTAGGACAGAGGGGGCCCTGGGGTTCCAGTGAGGACTAGACCCATAACCTGTCACACATCCTTCTCAAGAGCCTCCCCTGGGCACGTGCCCTGCTGGGCTCTGGGGAACCAAATGTGACTTGCAGGGTCCTTGTTTCCACGTTGCTGGGGTCTGTGGGAGCCCAAAGACGTAAAGAACAATGGCCTATTGGGGGAGGGGCACAGAAAGAAGGGTCCAGACCCCCTGAGACCCTGTGCCACTGAGGCAAACCCCAGCTCCCTCACCTGGTACCCCCTGCCAGCCAGCTGTGCCCCTCCCCCTCTTATGGCTCCCACTCAGGGCCTTGGTGGGGGAGGGGAAGAGGGGACCTTCAGGATCAGGTGACACAGGTCACGGGACACCATCTGACGTGCAACCTGACCCAGGTGAAATTCAAGCCTGCAGAGTCCCAGTCCCCACCCTCAGGCTCAGGTGGGTTCAGGGCCGGTCTCCCTGACAGCAGAGCCGTGCTCCCTGCTGCTGTGACTACAGCCTCACTGTGGCTTCCTAGAGGGATGACACGGCTGGCCCTCTGGTTCTAGAGCCCAGGGGACAAAAGCATGGTAAACAGAAACTGAGTCCAATCGTTGTGGCTGTGTGCCGGCAGGGGAGACGCAGGCATAGAGGCCTCCAGCCACGTCACTAGCTGTGCAACAAGGCAGGGGTCCCCCTCTGTGCCTCAGTTTCTCCATAGAATAGTCGCTGCCCACCCTGCCCTTCCCAGATGCCACGAGGACCCAAAGACAGAGCATGCATCAAAGGGCTCTGTAAGCCCTTGAAGACCTAAAGGGCAGCTGGGGTGGCCCTGCCCACTCCATGGATAGGACCTCCCTGGGCCTCCTGAGCCTCCAGGAGCCTCCACTCCACAGATAGGACCCCTGAGTCCTTTCCCTGGCGGAGCCTCCTGTTCCTCTTGGTCCTGACTGTCCCCCCTCAGGCTAGGAGGCTAAGCCGGTGTCTCAGGCAAAGCACTGGAAACGATACAAGTTATCATAAGTCGAATTCCCTTGCGTCCTTCGTGTCCTTGCTAAGCTGCAACGGTGCACTCTGCATCCCATCTACATGTCCCCATGCCACCTACACGTCCCCCAAGCCACCTACACATGCCGGCGCTGTACTTGAGCACACAGATCAGAGGCCCAAGGGTGTCCCTGTGGCTCCTGAATAGGCCACCCACCTTCTCCAGGGAAGGCCCTACTTCAGACCTGCCCCACTAGCACCGCCTATCACACTTCTCTCTCCCGTGTCCCTTTCCTTCTGGGCCAGGACAGGTCGAGGGTGGATCTTTTCCAGGGATTCCCAGGGCAGCCTCAAGGAGGACAAGTTCACCTGGTGCCACGACCCGAGAGCGAGATTCTAGGCGTTTCCCCACCGACCGGAGCTGTCCTGAGGTGCTCTGCTGCGGCCTCCCTATGGGCAGCTGCACTGGGACACATTCACTGTTACCCCATCTTACAGAGAGACACTGAGGTTCAGAAGAGAAGGAGCCGTGACCAGGGTCGCACAGTTAGTAAATAGGCAGCAGGGTTCGAATCCAGTCTGTCTGACCTTGAAGCACCCCTGCCCCCCCCCGGGGGGGGGCGTTTTCTGCCCCCACCCCTCACCCCAGTCCCCGGCCGGAGAGGAAGGAAGAGCTGTGGAGATGGAAAGGGCAGCCGGGCAGGGGGAGTCCCCTCCTGCTGGAAAGGAGGAGAGCACTCCATGGGGTGGGTGCCTGAGAGGCAGAAGGGGGCACAGGCACTGCCTCTGTGCCCCATGACTACGTCGGGAAGCGGCTACTTCCCGGGCCCTGCCTCGGGACACTGATCAGCCTGTGTCGCATGGGCAGGTGGAGGGAGGGGCGACTCACGTTGCCTTCATCGTCCACCACCTGGATCTGCCCAGAGTCACAGAGCTTCACCACCGCCCCGATGGGCACGTCAAACTCCTGCCCGGATCTCAGGTCCATCCACACATAGTCCCCCTGGGGAGAGAGAGAATCCCAGGACGGCTGAGCAGGAGGCGAACCAGACAGCCCTTCCAGGATGCCCCCAAGCCCACACCCACCACCAGAAGAGGGAGGATGGGGAACCATGCCTGCTGGAAACGCCTGGTGCCAGGCCCTGGGCTGGAGCTTGGGTCGTGCCATCGCCTCTCCTCTGGGGCAGCCATTATTCTCCCCACTTCACCGAAGAATGAGCAGACACTCAGAGAGGGAGAACAGCACACAGCAGGGCTCTAGCCCTGGCCCGTCCAAAGCCCGGCTCCCCCATGGTTCTGCCYGCTACATGAGTATGAGGGACTGGGGGAGTTTAGGCACAAACACCAAGCCACCCAAGTACAACGTCTCTGTCCAAGGAGTGATGTCAGGGACCCAAGGCTGCAGGGCCCATCTCTCCAGGGTCAAGTCTCACCATCCTAGTAACAGTTTCCTCTCAGTACACTCCCTGTGCCCAGCCTGGGATAAGAGACAGCCACATTGTCTCCTGGCTCGTGGGAAGAGCCCCAGCCTTGAGGGACACTGTGTCACTTTTGTGTCCCCTGCAGCATCTGGCCTACGGCCTGGCTCTCAGCACCTACTGAAGGCTCACAGAGGCCAAACAACCGCATTCAGCACTGATGTGTTCGACAGGCGTGTATCTCTCGAACACCTGCTGTGTCCAAGGCACTAACTGGCCTAACCTTGGGGGTGGCGCAGTGACAACGGAATCTACTTTCTAGTTGAAGAAGACAGAAAATAAATAACAGAGCACATTTATTAACATAGTCCCTTTGGACATTGGTGAGTGCTTCCCAGGGAGTTACCATGCCAACGGCAGAGTCAGGCAGCCACCCTGAGCCTCAGGAGCCAATGAGGCCGCTCTGCAGAGGAAATCTTGGAGCTGAGATCTGAGAAGCAGGAGCCAAAGAAAGGGCAGGGGAGTCATCTGGACAGAGGGAGGTGGGAAGGAACAACAAGGAGGTGTGGCAACAGGGGCTGAGGAAGAGATGAAGGTCAGAGTGGACCAGGCCCAGAAATACCAAGGTCTTTGCTGACTTTGGGGTGAAAGATTAGATTTTATTCTAATCCTAATAAAAGTACTCTTTTGGGGGGTGTTTTCTCAGGTGTGTGGGAGAACTTAGACATCCTAATAAAAATGTAACTTCATAACGAGCAGCAATTACAAACAACACTGATGAAACTGATTCTGGGTGACCCAGAGGTGGCCCAGTGGGAACGGCTCTGGCCCAGGCTCTGCTAGCTGATCTCTGAGCCTCAGTCTTCTCATCCCTCTTTGAGTCCAAGGTCAGTTCACGATTCTTTCAGTCTCCTGATCCCATCAGAAATTTGCTTCTCTGGGACAGGAGTCAGGGCATGTTAGGGAACGGCGAACCCAAAACCCAAGCTTCCTCTCAGAATGTCCGAGAGCATGGAGGGGCTCCGGAGCCGGGGAGACCCTGGTCTACCAGGCATCAGCTGCAGGACTGGGGCTCTGGGGTGCTTCCCAGAGCTGCCCCTTCCATCCTCCAGGGCCCTGAGCTTCCTACCCCACCAGCGACTGCTCCTCCCAAGGCTGCCTACCCCCACCTCTGCCTGCCCTACCCCTGCTGGGTCTCCTCCACCAGCTGCCCCTGCAGGCTGCTCTCCTGTCCAGGGCAGGGGACAGGCCCAGGCTGCAAAGAAATGAGTGGGAACCAGGGCAGGCCCCAGGTCACACAGGGCCTTTTGAGCCACAGACAGGAGTTGGACCTTCTTCTAATTTATGACAAGAAGCCATGGGGAAATGTCAGGATAGATTGACATTCAAAATCCCACCCTGGCTGCTGGGTGAGGAGTGGAGTAACCCCTGGGGCTCCACAGAGGGTGGGCTGGGCCTCTCCCACCCAGGGGAGGCTGGTCCAAGCCTCCCATTTGTGACTCCCCAGAGCCAAGCACAGCAGAAGCCTCAGAGAAGAGTGAGTGTGTGGAAGTGAGAGGATGTGAGAGCCAGGGAGAGTGGGCCCGGGAGGAGGGAGAGCAGCCCGCCTGGCAGCAGCTGGACGCTCCCCTGGCCTTCGTGAATTGTCCTCACGCTGAGCACTCAGCCTCTACTTCATCTCTCAAGAGTCGAAAATGTGCCCAAGTTCATACAGTGGCTTTGTGGTAGGGCCAGGACTGAGGCCCAGGCCCCAGAGACTCCAGACCCAGTGCTCCTTCCTGACATCCCCTGGGCCCAGCCCTGAGCACAAGAGAAAGCACTGACAGGGTCCTTGGCCTCGGGTGACTCATGGGCCCAAAGGAAAGCTGACAACAGGTTGAGGACAGCTAAAGTAACCTGTGTCCCTTGGCCCAGCAAACAGAAAAGATGGTTCCCACTGAAGGAACACAGGAAAATAATAATGATAGTAAAATAACTGAAACAAGGGGCTAGGATTGTGGCTCAGCAGTAGAGCACTCGCCTCGCACGTCTGAGGCCCTGGGTTCCATCCTCAGCACCACATAAAAATAAATAAATAAAATAAGGGCACTGTGTCCAACTACAACTTAAAAATATATATATATCTGAAACAAGCAGGAAATGGAGACTCTGAGAGGCTGAGCCAGGTACTCAGAGTCACACAGCAAGCAAAAATGACTAGACTCTTCTAACCTCAGGCTGTCACTAGAAGATTTCTGCTCCAGGTCAGAGCTTGAAGGAGAAATTTAAAATGGTAACTCAGAGGCTTCAGGGGGAATTCTGAGACCACAGGACATCTGGGGTGTGATCCCAGGGCCAGCCCTGGAATCAGCATGTAGCCAGGAAGTAAGGGTTCCCATTTTATAGATGAGGAAACCGAGGTCCAAAGAGAAAAGGGAACCTGGCTCAGACACTCATCAAACCAGTGAGATAAGCCTATTAGCCTCTGGAAAACAGAGCCTGAACCAAAAATAGGGTGGGAGGGAATCACTAGTTGAGTGGGGGAAGGGAAGGAGGAAGACAGGAAAGAAAACCAAGTTTAACTGAGGGCAGGAGGGCAGCAAGGAAGGAGACCTGGGCTCTAGGTCTAATCCCACAACCCTCCCATCCCTGTGGCCAGTGCCCGGGCCACCATGATGGCATCTGGTGCACAACTTCATGCACTGTGAGAGGCACCCCTCCGGGAACCTCACCTTGAAGTGATATCCCATTTATGACGAGGCACATGCCTCAGTGTGGCTAACTTGGGCCAAGTGCCAGCTTTCCTGATGTCAAAAGGATGGCTGGAGCAGAGAGCCCCCTAGGACCCCACCAGCTCCGCAGGATCTCAGTCTCCGAGTGATAACTTCCTAGAATGAGTCTAAATATTCTCAAGGGTACTCCAAAACCCAGTGGGGCCTACCCCTGGAAAAGCCAGCACACCGTCACAGTAGGTTCTAATTTCAGTTCTGCCACTGATGCTGTGTGACTTTGGGTAAGTCATTCAGTCTCTCTGGACCTCACTTTCATCAGACTTCAAATGGAAGGAATTGATGAATGCAAAGAGAGGCTTGCAGACCGGGCTGTCCTTGCTCCCCTCCTTCTCCCTGGCCAGTCTGGGATCAATATGAACTCCCACAGGGCCTGAGCACTTTCTGCCTTTCCCTCCTTCCGGGGCTTGGGGCTCAGTCCCTGTTTGCCAAATGTGGACACCTGAATGTGGACTCCCAGCCCCCACCACATGTCTCCCTTATCAGCCTGGGCCACTGGTTTTCTCAGCCCCATTTCACAGGTGGGAAGGGAGATCTAAGTGTCTAGCCAGAGGCACCCATGAGTACAGCGCAGTGTCCAGTTGCTAACCTTTAAATAGAGGGGACCGGAAGGCTGGCAGTCAGCCAATGGGTAATCAGATGGCTAAGGTCCTTCTGTGCACCTGGGGACAGTCCCTGCTCTGGATCCCAGCAAAAGCTGGTAAATCTTTAGCCCATCTGGATCCCCCCACCCCCCACCTTCTTCGGTGACCAACTTTCCAGATGGCGCCGAGGGAGGCTGCCTTGGGCCGGGTTCCTGCTGGGGTCCGGGTGTCAGGGATCCCAGGCAGCACCCTAGGGCTGTCGACCTTCCTCACGCCCCGGGGCTTTGTGACCCTACGCCTTCCCGGCTTCTGCCCCGCGGGGACACTGAGGCCGTTGCCCTCCCCGCCGGCCTGGGTCTCACCGGCAGGACGGCCAAGGTCTTGAGCGCCTGGTTCAGGTGGCGCACCAGCGCCCACTTGCCCGGCTGCGGGGCGCGCGCCTCTCCGGGGTCAGCGGGGCTGCCGGGGGCCTCCATGGCGCCGAGGGTCTGGTGGCGGCGGCGGCACCGATCGGGCTCCCTAATTCACCTAATCCCCTGCGCGCTGCCGGGGAACCCTAAACCGGGCCATCTGCCGCGGGCCCATGGCAACCGCGGCTTAGGTGACGCCCGCCCGCGGCGGGAACGGGGAGGGGGCGCTCGCCGCCCGGACCCCTCCCATCTCCGCGACCCTGGCACCTCCACCTGCAGGGCTTCCAGGTGGCTTCTCCAGGGCTGCAGAGCCTAGCCTGGGGGCCCCGGGGGACTTGGCACCTGGAACCGCACGCACCCTCGGGGCAGTTTTGGAGAAAAATCAGTATTTTCCCCCTGCAGGGATGTTCTTGAATAGAACTCAGACTAAAGGGAGGGTGGCCTGTGACTCGCTGGCTACCTCTGGAGACTGAAAACGGATAAAAATCAGTCTTCAGGGGCACCTTTGTGGGGAAAGGCCCGGAAGAGCCAGTGTCTGGTCCTCCTCACCTGGCCCCTGGTCAGCTCTTGAGGGATTCCAGCCCAAGGAAGAGCCACTGAGGCCTGGTGCCGGGGCCCCTGGGTTCCCCAGGACACTGAGCCACCAGATAGTTCAGAGATCACCCACAGTGGGTGATCCACACAGGACTGGGCACCTGCCTCCAGTCCATGCTAGGTGGTGAGCCAGAGGTCACTAACTTGGCCTGGAAGGCCCAGGCCGGGTCACTCCCAGGTGACGCCTCCTTCTGGCCTCTCTCTGCTTATCTTTGCCCTCTTCCCTCCATTCTTCCTTTATTCCTTCTCTTCTCTCTTGTGTCCATTTTTGACCTTCAGCTCTGGACTCCTGGAAGCACAGCTGCTCCCCCAGCAAACAGCAGTAGGGAGTAGAGCAGGGAAAGGGCAGGGAAAGGGCAAGGAAGGAGGCAGTGGTGCCTCATGGCTCAGGGCTGCCGGGGAGAGGCCTCCTTCCCTGCCCTTAGTCATAGCGAGCAGGGCTCTTCCCCCAGCACAAAGCTGACTGACCACAGTGACCCTCACCCCTTCCTGCACTCTCTCCAGGATCCACCTTTCCAGATAGGTCCTTTCCCAGCCAAGCCCTGAACACCTGTCCCTGCCCACCTGCCCCTGGACTTCACTGGGACAGGGACCAGCTCCTCAGACACAAAGGACTGCTGGTGGTGGACTCAGAGCACTTTCCACCTGTCCATAAAATCATCCTTCACTGAGCTCAGGTTCAGAGCAAAGCACAGAGGATACCGTCCACAAGACAAGTCCTCAGAGCTCCCTGCCTGGGGGGGAGGACAGACCCAAACCCAAATAAGGCTGGTACCACCCGGTAGGAGAAATTAAGACAATTCTAGATAATTAAATGCAGAGGGAGTTTGTCACTAGTCAACCTGTCTTATACAAAATGCTACAAATAGAAGGACATGGAAGGACAATAAAACAAACAAATAGATTTAAAAAAATGGACAGATGACTTCAATAGGCATTTCTCTGAAGAAAATATACAGACAAGAAGCACATGAAAGATAGTCAATATCACTAATCTTTCTTTTTTTAATAGAGAGAGAGAGAATGAATTTTTTAAATATTTATTTTTTAGTTTTCGGCGGACACAACATCTTTGTTTGTATGCGGTGCTGAGGATCAAACCTGGGTCGCATGCATGCCAGGCGAGCACGCTACCGCTTGAGCCACATCCCCAGCCCCAACATCACTAATCTTAAAGGAGATGTAAATCAAAGTTATAATGAAATGCCCCTCTATGCTCATTAGGGTGTGTATATCAAAAATCAGAAAATAAATATTGTCTAGGATGTGGAAGAATCGAAACTCTTATTGCTGCTGCAGAAATATAAAATAGTTCAGCCACCATGGGAAAAAAATTAAAATAGAATTATTATATGATCCAGCAATTCTAGTTCTGGACATATACTCAGAGGAATTGAAAGCAGGTCTCAAAGAAGTATTTGTGCACCTATATTCACAGCAGCACTGTTCACATGAGCTAAAACAGGGAAACAACCACGGTGCCCTTTCATGGGTGACTAAGTATGCAAGATGTGGTATATTGATTCCATAGAATATTATTCAGCCTTAAAAAGGAAGGAATCTTGTCATGTGCTACAACATGGATGAACCTTGAGGAAATTATGCTAACTGAATTAAGCCGTCACAAACAGACAAATACTGTGCTATTCCACTGATGTGAGACACCTAGAGTAGTCACAGTCATAGAGACAGAAAGTAGAAGGGACATGGCCAGGAGCTGGGTTAGGGAAAAAAATAAAGTGTTATTCCTTAATGGACAGAAATACAGTATTACAGATAAAAAGGATTAGGGAGATGGATGATGGCAATAGCTACCACAACATTATGAATATTTGTAATACCATGGAACTGTGCATGTGAAAAGGGTTAAGACAGTAAATTTTGTTATGTATATTTACAAAAATGAAAAATTGGAAAAAAATCATAAAATAATAGACAGTAAGTCAAAACCATATGAAGAAAAAAAAGGAACACTAGTAAGGATAACCATAGAGTAAAGTTGAAAGTCAGAGCCGGGCATGGTGGTGCATGCTTAGAACTGCAGAGACTCAGGAGGCTGAGGCAGGAGGATTGCAAGTTCAAGACCAGACTCAGCAACATAGTGAGACCTTGTTTCAAAATAAAATAAAAAGGGATGGGATGTAGTTCAGTTGTAGAATGCCCCTTGGTCCTTCCCCAGTTCCAGAAAAATAAAAACAAACAATTTATAAAGAAGGGGAGGGCTGGGGATGTGGCTCAAGTGGTAGTGCAATCACCTAGCATGCATGAGGCACTGGTTTTGATCCTCAGCACCACATAAAAATAAAATAAAGATATTATGTCCACCTAAAACTAAAAAATAAATATTAAAAAATATATTTTTTTTAAAAAAGGGGGAAAAGCCTGGAGAAATGGCGCATACTTTAATCCCTGCCACTTGGGAGCTGAGGCAAGAGGATCACAAGTTCAAAGCCAGCCTGGGAAACTTAGCTAGGCCCTGTCTCAAGAAATAAATAAAAATTAATTAATTAATTAATTAATTAATTTAAAAAAGAAAGAAACTTCACAGAAGAGGAAATGAGGAAGGAATCAAAGCCAGGTATAGTGGTATATTTCTGTAATCCTAGCAACTTGGAAGGCTGAGGCAGGAGGATCACAAGTTCAAAACCAGCTTCCACAAATTTAAGGCCATCTTTGGCAACTTAGCAAGACCTGTCTCAAAATAAAAGTAAAAAGAGCTGGGGATATTACTTAGTGGTAGAGCACCCTGGGTTCAGTCCACAGTACCAAAAAGAACAAAAAAAAAAAAAAAGGAGAGAGAAGAGAATTAAAATAGTAGATGAGGAAAAAAATCAGTCAAACACAAAAGAACCGAGAGGGGAAAGTCACAGGAAAGGTCACAAGAAAACAAACAGCAAAACAGCAGAAGTAAAATTAAGCCCACCCTTAGCAGTAATTGCCTTAAATGTAAATGGATTGGATTCTTTAGTTAAGGGGACAATAAAAACACAGAATCAATTATGATAAGCCTCAGCTTCTCCACTTGAGACCCAAAGACACACACGGGCTCCAGGGGAAGGACTTCATATAGGTGGTATTCCATGCAAGTAGCAACCAAAAGAGAGCTGGGGTATCAACACTAATGTCCTCTGAACCCATTTAAAGCCAACAGTTGTTTACCAAGCTGGCTGCAGTGTGGTAGATCTGTAATCCCGCTATGCAGGAGGCTGAGGCAGGAGGATCACAAGTTCAAGGCCTGCCTGGGCAACTTAGGATACCCTGTCTCAAAAGAAAAAAATGAAAAGGACTGGGACTGTAATGTCATGGCAGGGTGCTGGCCTGGCCTGGGAAGGCTCTGGGTAAATTTTGATATGTATATTTACAAAAAGTTGTTACAGAAGATAAAGAAGGACATTATATTTTACTAAAAATATCAACCCAAACCGACAT